AAGCCAGCCTCTTGTCTTGCAGATGTAGAAATTGTTGCTTTGTTTCTCTGATAAAACTGGTTTTAGACAAAAATAGGGATGATCACTCTCTTAGACCATGCTAATGTTAATAGAGAAGAAGCATTCTTTTCTTTCTTCTATGTGAAACTTGAAATGAGGAAAAGCAATTCTAGTGTAAATCATGCAAGCGCTATAATTACTATAAATAAGAAAATTCAAGAAGATTCAATCACTGTATAGAATGGTAACGTACCAACTCATTTCTTATATCATATTGTTAAATAAACTGTGTGCAACAGACAAAAAGGGTGGTCCTTCTTGAATTCATGTACATGATATTAACACTTAGTGTTCGGGGGTTTTTTTGTTATGAAAATGCTGTTTTCAACATTGTATTTGGACTATGCATGTGTTTTTTTCCCCATTGTATATAAAGTATCGCTTAAAATTGATATAAATTACTGAAGTTTTTAACATGTATTCTGTTCTTTAAGATCCCTGTAAGAATGTTTAAGGTTTTTATTTATTTATATATATTTTTGGAGTCTGTTCTTTGTAAGACATGGTTCTGATTGTTCGCTCAGAGTGGAGAGGTCGGGGCTGCAGTCCTAGTTGCAGTGTGGGTGGCAGCTGGGAAGTGTCCCAGGCTTGTGGCCACCAAGGGGAAAGGGGGAGGGGTCCCTGTGCGGAGTGAGGAGGCATCTCAGCATTGCCTTGCATATTCAGTACTCACAGGTGAATGTCACCCATGCCACAAGGGACAGTCACCGCTGGGTCAGAAACAGCACTTTGCCTCCAGCCCACTCTTCCTGTCCTCCTCCTCGTTGGCCAGCTGCCCCTGTGGGGAGGGCTCCTGCCCTTTTTTTTCAGACAGCCCCCCTTTCTCTACCCAGATCCCACAATCAATGCAAAGGGTGCTCCAGGGACTTGAGGTGGTTCCTGACCTCCCCTCCCCACAAGTTCAACAGGGAGGTTACCTCCATCAGCCTGCCCCATGTGGCCTCCTTAGGGCTTTGCAGGCCTGGTGCCACCCTGGGGGCTGCTGCTTCATGGTCTTACCCGCTCATGAAGTCCAGTTACAGGTGCCCTTCCTGAGCAGGGCATGGTAGCTCCTGAATACTGTAAATGTCACATCTGAGAGGAGGACCACTGACGGGGGAACTCAGCCCCTAGCCTGCTGCTCCCAGGGAACTTTTTTTTTTTTTTTTTAAATACCTGTCTTCCAACAAAAGAGTGGTCTAGATGGGGGTGGGGGCAGCTAAATTTAGAAATCATGACCCAAATAGCCTTCCTTTTGGCCTTTTAAGTTCACAGAAATATTTTCAAAATTCCTGATACTTGGAAATCTAAATTTGACGAAGCCTTTCAAGATTAGAGTTTTGAATGTAGAATTTTGAATCTTGGATTTTAATACTGTGGATAAGACCAGGTAAGGAATAGGCCATCATCTAACATCCCCCACCTAAGCGCTGTCCCAAGTCCTCCAGAGGTGATGCTCCGCCCTTGTTCAGCTTGATGGGTCCTTGCACATTCTCGGCTCTCTTCAGAATTCCCTTTGCTGCCGATTGGGAAGCCCCAAGCCATGTGTTCAAACAAGAAGAGGAACTGGAGCCTCAGAAGAGCTGCTCTCAGCCCCACTCAGAAGGTGGCACTTGGCAGTGTGCAGCCTTTTAATGTGGGCAATGGGGACATCCTTTTCAGGTTATCCTGAAGTTCAAAGCTATGTACCAACCTCCTTGGAGTCTGCATCCTGTGCAGTTGTCCATCTGGATGTCGAAGGATGTGGCTGAGGGTGTGGGCTGTGGATACTATCCCTAAGTTTGTCCTAAGGAAATTTCTGTAAGAGCTGGAGTGCCCAGACACTGTGTCTCATGCTGTATACTTAAGAGGAGAAGAAAAAAGTCCTATATTTGTGATCAAAAAGAGGGAACTTGAAATGTGCTGGTGTTTATAATAAAAGCTGGTAAAACTGCTTGGATTCAAAGGTGGTTCCGATTGGCTAATGATCCCCTTAGCATTAGCTCAGCTGCTGATCATTGAACAACTGAAGATGCCTGGTGTCAACCCTACATGCATTTGAGGCTCTTAGAAACTAGCATTTAAGAACTGAATGTTATGTCCACAGATAACATGCTATTCTGCACTGTTGGGGTGAATACATGTAACTTTCATTTGGTTTCTATTAAATGGGACTAGCTGGGCAAGGTAGCCCATGCCTTTAATCCCAGAAGAGCTAGAGCTAGAAGAATCTGGAAGACCTCAAACCCAAAGATCCATATAGGAAATGAAAGGACAGCCAGGGCTACATAGTCTCAGAGACCTGTCTCAGAAAGGGGAGGGGCAAAGATTGCATTTGAATCAACGTTTAATTTTAGTGTTGTATGACAGAATAAGCTGGTTTTGTTTTGTTTTTGTTTTTTTAAAGAACACTTCTCATTAAGGTGATTGTGAGTTGGTAGCCACTGTGATGCCAGGAAATATAATACAGGACAGTGTATTGGGAAGCAGTTCTGTGCCCAGACATTGTAGTAAGCCTGGAGAATGTAGGAGTAAGTCTGCCCATTTGGGACTAACAATACACAGTAGCCTGAAAGGTATTGGGTGTTTCACATGCATTGGTCATACTAATTGTGTTGTGAATGCTAGGTGCAGGGTGGAGAACAGTTAGTGATAACACACTGAAGAAATGGTTCAGAACCCAAACTAAAGTAGACTCCCAAGTGAGTGGGTCTGCAGCTGATCTAAACTGTCTAAAACAGTGCTTTCATCATGCTCACCAGGTTATAGAGGATTTGTTAGAAATCTTTGATAATTCACTTTTCACTAAATAAAAGTTCAAGGGAGTTCAGGAGAGCCTACTATTCACAGAATTGAGCTCCTGATGGACCCCACTTTGTCCATTCTACAAAATTCCTACTAGGGGCTTGAAGCTGAGATGGCCTTTGGGTCTTTCATCTTGTATTCCATGGCTCTTGTCACAAGGAAATGTCACAGGCTGACATTTCCCATACTTGTAGGTTGACCTGTGAAATTCAGATAAAGGATCCTGGGAGGAGAATGATAGGGAAAGCTCCAAGTTATTTTAGAGTGAGAATCAGAACACAAAGGTCCTTTAAAGTCTGTTGTGTGCAGAAGGGAACTGAAGACTTGTTCCTGACATCCTGCTGCCAGGACTCCTTTATTATCTGTGGTACTGCCCGGGACTCCTGAGATGTAGGCACAGATATGGGCCACTAAGACAAGATAGATTCCCATGTTCCTTCCTGGAATGAGCACTAAAAGAAATGACTAAAGTCCCAAAGCTGGGAAGTGGGAACAGGCAGGGCAAGAGGCAAATGTCAAGAGATGTCTGAAGTGGACCACTGTTAGACAACCACTGTAGTTGGAGCTAGAGTGTACAAAAGGCCCTTGGAGTTTTGTGGGAAGTCAGTTCCTGTTCCTGACCCTTGGTAAATACATAGGTCTAAACTTCGGTTTTCCGGGAACGGACGGACGACAGGAGGGCCTAGGTTTGATTTGCCTGCAATGCAGTTGGTTTACAATGAACAGAACCTACATCCCCATCCTTAACTAAAAAGCCCAGGTTCTTCTTTGCCAAATGTCACTTCACCTTTTCAAAACATTCTGCTCTGAGCCAGATACGGTGTTCTATAGATTGCTCTGTCAGCTCTGACAGAAAGGACAATTCCAGAATGGGGAATTAAAGGAACGAACCGGGAGGTGTCTCGATCCCTCTAGGAATAGTATCCAGGGAAGCTATTCTGTGTGGTGACATGGGCAGAGGCAGAAGCCAGAAACGGATTCTAAGGATCCCAGAAAAGACATGGTAGGACTGTAATGAGGAAGTGTGGGATTGGGAGTGGAGGATGTGTGCCTACAGGAGCAGAACTGGCTATAGAGTGGGGATAGCCATTAGGCGTTCAATGAAATATGTCTTCCTCAGCTCCTCTCCACCTTACATTTTGATACAGGGACTTTTCCCTGAACCTGAGGCTAAGAGATTTATGTAGACTGGTTGGTCAGCAAGACCTGACCAAGGATTCTCTTCTCTTTCCCCCTATTGCTGAGATTACAAGCACACATTGCCCTGTCATTTTCTTGGGGACATCAGGGTATCAAGCATTTCCAGACTGAGCCATCTCTCTGGCCTCCTAAATCTGTCCATTCTTTTTCTATTTTCCATCTATAAATCAAGAATGTGAGAGCTGTCCTTGACATATTCAACCTGGAACCATTCCTAAACATGCCTGCCCTCTGCCAACATTTCAAGTCTATCCAGGATCTGGGAGGTAACCGCTCCTGACTCAGAACTTTTGGATTTTTTGCATCACCATTTACAAATTATAAGTAAATGGTTTTGTGTGGCATGTATGTTCCTGCAGTTGGGACTAGTGTCTGGTAGCAAGCTAAGCAACCACGTTAATATTTTTGTAAAATTTGATCATAGCAAAATATATTTAGTAAGAACCTGTCACAAAGGTGCCACCTGAGCTTTAAGATAAGAGCGTTAACAGGCAATCTGTTTAGGAAGTGGCCAGAGAGTTTGGATCAGGCGTTTGAGACCAGGTTTATGGCCTGGATCCCCAAGCAAACTTCCAGGCAGGAGAAAAGTCACAAACGGGTAAGCCCACTTCTGGAGTTGTTGGTTACTGAGTTCACGTTTTGGTGAATAATAGTCAAACCTAAAATCTCTTTGTCACTGTAGCTTTCTGGCATTGCCGTAGGAGACTCTTCCAGTGGCCCAAACGCATAGAAACACACGGTTGGGTAGGTCCCGCTCGTCCACACTCCAGCCTGGGCAGGGACATCTCGAGAATGGGGTACTCGCGCCCAGGCGCAGCCGAAGCTCCGGGGACACAATCCCCACACACTCCACGCCCTTGTCACTGACATCCAAGGTCAAAAAGTCCGGTCCTCAGGCCCCCGTGCTGGGGTTTGCTCCGACCGCGTTTCCCGCGCAGGCAGAGCCTTGGGCAGCCCGAGCCCGTCGCTCGCCATGACGTCACTGCGCCGCCCCTGCGGAAAGCCTCCCTCACCACTCGTGGCTGTTCGTGGCGCTTGGGACGGAGGCATGGCGCGCGAGCTGCGGGCTGTGCTGCTGTGGGGCCGCGGGCTGCAGGCTACACTGCGGGCGCCCACGCTGGCGGGTGTCCGGCGAGGTGAGCGCGGCGCAAGAGATAGAGGCAGCGTCTGAGGCCGTGCGCTCTCTTGACTGGTGGGAGGCCGCACAGCACCGGGGCTGCCACGTTGGGACGGGGACAGGGAAGTGCGGTTGCTTCTAGGGAGACGAATCGCAGGCACCCCCAGCATGGTCTGGTCAGCCCCTGGCGTTCCTGATGGCCGTCTCCCGCACTTGGGCTCACTCGTTAGTTTGCACGCAGCTGTGCACACGCTCAATTCCCGCAGAGCTCAAGCCCTGGGATAGAAACTGAACAAACCCAATAGTCACCCCGGACTTCAGGAAACCGGTGAACTCGGAGGGGTTGGTCCCTGCATCCCCAGGGTCTGGAATTAAAGATACAACAGGGAATGTAGAGAGTAAAGGACCTTAATCTGTGCTTTCCCACCCTCTATTCAAGTAATGGTGAAGGTGTTAGCGTAGCATACGCATAAGGTATATGTATTTACAACTGTTTACATGAAAGGGCCCAAGTCAAATATGAATTGTGCTAAAGAATCTTATTCAAAGTTTCCACCATTCCTTACACAACTTTTCATGTTAGCATATACTGACTGGTACACGGTACAGTGGCTTTTCCAGCAGCTACTCATCCGCCACTAAATGCTCTGCTGAACACAAAAAATTGTTACTATGTGGTAAAGGTTGAGTGAGCGCTTTAGTCTTGAGGAACGTGTATTCAGTTTTAGAATTGTTCCAGAGTGCCGTTTCTTTTGTTTGTTAGCCGATTTTGCCAAATTGCGACTTTATTTATTTATTTATTTGTTTGTTTGTTTTTTGAGGCAGGGTTTGTCTGTGTATGTATTCTCTAATAGCAAAACTGCCTATTCCATAGTATCTTCTCCAACATTTGAGTATGCCTTAAAAAACAACAACAACAACCAAAAAACAGTGCACAGTGTCTAAGGGTCGGTGTGTAACTCAGTCGGAGTTTTCTGCTTGGCTTGCATAGGCCCTCAATTGGTCCTCAGCACCACCAAGAACACTGAAAAGAGCTTGCTTTAGAAGACACCTTCTGTGATTTGCATCTACATGGATACTAGTGAAAGACTGTTTTACTCCTTTAACGGTGGATTGGCATCTTCTCTATGGTTTCCTCTTTGTACCCTTGCATCATGTTCTGCAAACACCTCCTCGGCCCTGGCTAGACGGCCAGGTTTGTTCACAAAGGCTGACTCCAGAGTCTCCCCGAAGTATACCTGCAAAATTGGGTGCTCCTTTTCACCGACGAGGATTCCCTTTTATTTCCAGCTTCTGTGGTGGCGCTAATTCTCCTTGGGTATTGAGCAGAGAAACTATATACGATTTGGCCACTTCATTAAAGCTCTGATTTCAGTCTGCTTCCATGTTGTATCAGCCCTCCAAACCCCCTGCTGTTGATTGATTGATTGATTGATTGATTGTTTCTCCAGAGCAACCCTGGATTTTGACTTTGTGGTAGTCCTGAATTCACGGTTGTCATCTATACTAAACTTGTCCTGGTAGGATACAGCTCCGCCAGACAGGAAGTGGCACTCCATGTAAACTAGCTCTCGCCTGTGCCATAGAGATGATCTGATTGAAATTTCTAATTTCAGAAAAACAGCCAGTGTGTCTCACAACTTACAACGCTGCTCACCCCTGAGATACCTTAGTGAAGCAGAGCTCTAGTAAGAACAGTTAGAGGTCTGTAGGAAGGCTGGGTGACCTTTGTGAAGTCAAGCCATAGCTCATGTGTTTTCTCTCTAGCTCGCTTGAGTGGCCCCTGTGGTCAGGTGACTTTTTCCCCCTTGAAAGCTGGACTGAACAACCTCTGCAAGGTTTCCTACTCCCCTGAACCAAAAGCTGTTTCTGTTGGAATTCAGTGATGCTGGGTTTATATTCTCAGAAAGATCTACTTTTGTAATAGATGCTTTGGCTTATGAGAATTTGATACCAGGAAATGAAAGCCTGTCCCTGTTGTAATTTAATGAGGCAAATTATATATTAACGAATTAATAGAAGGGATGCCCCAAACCAGCACACAAAAAATAATTTGAAATGAGCAGCGTAGAAAGTGAGTGGTGAATTCATAGTAGGGGGGGATTACTATGAACAGTGGGCGAAAGCAGGCCTGGGAGGACACCACAAGAGGCCTTGAGCCAGGTCTTGAAGCAGTTCTTGTGGAAAGAGGGATGTGGTTGCAGCGAGGGCAAACATCATGGACACTAGCTAAGAGTGTGTGAGTGCGTGCCTACACAGTCAGCGATGTCACAGTCACATTATCAGTGCTCCTGTGAGCTCCAGGCCATCCAGTGCTGTAACAGGAGAAGGCTGGGGCCCGCCTTTGAGGTTTGTGGCTTTTCTTTAGGGTGTGGGGGAAACATGAAAACCAATATTGTGCAGATAGTGTGTTTAATGTCTTATTCAGACACTATATTGGGTTATTGGTTTTATTTTTCAAGGCATAGAATGTTCAACTAACCTGGAATCAAATCTGGACCTCCCCACTTTTTAATGGATGTATTTTACAAAATACACTGGAAAAACATGCAGTGCTGCCTGTATTGGATGTAATTCTGGGCCACAAGTCTGCACACTCCGTAGCAGCTGGACCTATGCTGGCAGGACTTTACCTCGTCTATTTTGTTTACTGTGTCCTCTGCTTTTATCTTCAAAATAAAGACACACCCCATCTCTTCTACCATACGACTTTTGCTGTCAAATTACCACTGCTGGATGGACCTTTTTCTTAGATCTGGTTTGTCTTAACTGTGGAATCACCATATCACTCACACTAGCAGCAGGAAGTCAGTTCAGCTGTCTGTTGGTTCCCTTCACAGAGATGGTAGACAAATTTTTGGTCCAGTTATAGGGGGTTAGTTTATAACCATCATGGTGGGGAGCATGGCCCCAAGCAGACATGGCGCTGAAGCAGTAGCTGAGAGTCCACATCTGATCTATAAGTTGTAGACAGCCTGTTTTTTTTTCTGTTTTGGGACTGTTTCCCTAATGCAGTTAGGCTGGCTTCAAACGTAGAGTCTTCCTATCTTAGCTCTCCAAATGCTAGTATTGCAGCTGTGCACCATTCACATTATTATTTGTCGTTATTGTGTGTGCAGAGGACAACTTTTGAGAGAGCAGTTTTCTCCCATGTTTATGTGGGTTTCAGGAGTCAGACTCAGGTCACTGGGCTTGTGTGGTAAACACTACCCATTAAGTTATCTTGCCAGCTCCCCCAAATCTTTTTTAAGACAAGGTCTCCTGTAGCTCCAGCTGTTCCTTGAACTCTTGATCCTGTATTCCTGATCTTAGTTGTATCTCTTCCGTCTTCTGTCATCTCTGAGCTCCCCTCAGTTAGTCTGTCCGTCTGGACTGCAGCCCTTGGGAGGAATTCCAGCCAGTGGTCTTCTAGGATGTCTGTCAGTTTAAGGATTATCTAATGTTTTCTTATGATTAGATAGAGATGCAGTTTTGGCAAAAAGATACCAGAGGAAGGATAATGTGTCTCATCATGATGTTGGCAGGTCTCCTGATGTGGGAGTCATTTAAAAAGGAGACCTGCCCTTTCCCCTCTACAATAAATTCATTGACTTTCTCTTTGAAATCAACAATAGTTTTTCAGGATACGCAGATATTGTATAGTTGTTTGTTGACATCTGTCAGTAATTTCTGTCTGCCACAGATATGAGCGTGATTTTTCTACTTGTTTTCCATGGCAATTTTCCTATTTAAAAAAAAAAGCTTGTTCTCTCTTCCCTGTACATCAAAGTATGGATTCTATTTGCTAGACTGAAGTCTGGAGTAGCTACTGTTACAGTTTTGCTCAGATCATCCCAGTTTCTACACTAAAAGTGCCTTCGGGTTGGACATGTCCTGACTCACCCCTCGGTGCTGAGTCCTTCTTCACTGTCTGGCTCCACAGAGTTCTAGGCTCACATGTGCACCCACCACACAGAGCACTTGTTCCTTTTACTAGGAATGGCAGAATGGTTCCAGTTTGCCTGGGACCAATGTGTTCCTAAGAAAGGGGTGACTACTAGACAGCTTGAGAAGGCCCTAGCCTGAGGGTGCTTGTTGCTGCCAGGATGTTATCCATCAGTGGACAGGGTTAGGAAATGCATGTGGAGGTGGGGTGTACCCGGACAGGTACACACCCTGTGTGTCGGCTTTTATTTCTGGTCACCATGACAAGGGATCTATGTCCTGGTCCTATGGTACCTTCACTCCAGGGCAGCACTCAGGTCCTAGTCCTTCCCCCTTTCCTGCTCCAGCTTTGAGAAGCCAGGCTCATTTCACAGTGTGTTAGTGTGCTTGACCTCAGTCTGTACCCAGGCCAGTTTCAGGCTGGACAGCTGGGGCTGGTGAAGAGCCAGTTTGACCAAGCTGAGCATGTGTGTGCAGTCCTTTGGAGGTCAGCTTTGTAACCGGCAGTAAAAATGACACTTTCTGGTAAAGCCTTTACACATATGGTCATCTTCAAAAACATTTTTAAAATCATACTGGAAAACTAATTACTTGTAAACTCGTATCATATTTACCAAGTCTCCTCATAGCAGGGACTACTACATTATCTTCTAACTGTTGTGGGAGGGAGAGGTACATTTTCTTTCCATATCCCTTATGCTCACATGGCCTGCATCCTGAGTGACAGATGATATACCTTCCATGTCTTTGACTTTGACAGTGCTCTTCAATATTGTGGCCTTCTAGCATCACATCTCTGTAGAGATTCTTCAGGGAAGGAGCCAGCAAAGCCCACCCTCCCGAGTGTCTCAGTCACTGTTCTTTGGCTGTAAAGAGACACCGTGACCACAGCAACTCTTTTCCTTTGTTTGTTCGGTTTTTTTTGTTTGTTTGTTTGTTTTGGTTTGGTTTTTTTTGAGACAGGGTTTCTCCGTGTAGTTTTGGTACCCATCCTGGATCTCGCTCTGTAGACCAGGCTGGCCTCAAACTCACAGAGATCCGCCTAGCTCTGCCTCCCGAGTGTTGGGTTTAAAGGCGTGAGCCACTGCCGCCCGGCATCCACAGCAACTCTTATAAAGGAAGATGTTTAATTGGGGTGGCTTACAGTTCAGAAGTTTAGTTAATTATCGTTATGGCGGAAAGCATGGTGCCATGCAGGCAGATGGTGCTGGAGAGATGGCTGAGAGTTCTACATCTGGATCAGCAGCAGCAGGAAGAGAGAGATACACTAAGCCTGGCTTGAGCTTCCAAGACCTCAGAGCCGCCCCGATCCCGACCCCCATGACACACTTCCTCCAACAAAGCCACACCTCCCAGTAGTGCCAGTCTCTATGAGCCTCTGGGGCTGCTTTCATTGAAACTACCACACTGAGTGAAATTCACTTGCACAGCCTCACAGGTTGCTGCAGGCATGTTCCAGGAAGGGTTGAGCCCCCCTGGGTGCTGTGCTTTATTGTGTCTATTGGCATAGTAGTTTGTTCAGGTTACTATGGCGATAAGGGAAAAGTGTATTTAGAAATGGTTCAGCCGTTAAGAATGTTATTGCTCTTTCAAAGGACCTGGGTTCAGTTCCTAGCACACCTACCTGTAACTCCAGCTCCATAGGGATCTGATACCTTTTTTTGGCCTCTGGTCGTGTACACTCACTCATGTGCATATAATTCATACACAAATGTTGGGAGCACAAAGGTCCTTGTGCTCAAAGATAACGCTAGGGAAACTTGGAATGTTAAACCTATGGAAAAGATGTATAACCTGTTTTTCCACCCAGAAGGCTGGGAATGGAGGTGGTTAATAGCTCTATGTTCTGCACTATCTGTAGGGCCAGGTCATGCCAAGCGCCCATGAGCAGGACCAGAGGTGGCTAATAGCTGAGATGACCTCTACACTATCTGTATGACGGAGACCCGGTCCTCCTCTAGGCCTTAAGATAGCACAAATAGCCTTCAATAGAACTGAGAAGAGTTTTGATCTGATTATGCTTTCTTGTGCACAGAGGATTGTGTTACAGCAGGAAACCTTTTCCCAAATTGTACTGTACTTAAATATGCCTACAGTAAACTGCCCCGTGTCGGACTCTAGAAGTTTGAACCAACACTGGCTCCTGAATCGTGTTGAACTGGATTTCCTTCTTCCCCCTCACGGGTCCTTATTCTGCCAGCCATTGTGTTTCAGAAACACACAGGCACTCATTATTTAAAATAATAAAAAAAAAATTAATTACATTTTTATTTGTGTGTATGTGTGGGCATTTGTGTGCCATGGCACACATGTGGAGGTCAGAGGGTAACTCCCAGGAATTGGTTCTCTCCTTCCATCGTGCAGGTTCTGGGGATTAAATTCAGGTCATCAGGCTTGGTTACCAAGCATCTTTACCTACTGAGCCATCTCACTGGCCCAGATATATTTGTTTTTAAAAACTACTCATTTCTGGCTATTCTTTTATTCCTTCCCTGGATTGGAGATTAAAGGTGAGCAGAGCTGGCAGGAGGGGCTTCCTTTCAGTCCAGATGTTCACACAGACTGTCTTGAGTATGACTGTACCCCTCCAGTGTTACAGACTTGTTAGATGTCTACTAAGCCAGGCCAGGCCCTGCCAGCTGGCCCTTGGGGCTACCGAGAGGTATAGACCAGGTCCATGCCTCTGGCTGGAGTACAGTGTCTGCTAGGCTGCTAGGTTTGTGTGGCCGTTGAAGGCTTAGGCTGATCCCACCAAGTAGAGACACCTCACACCTAGTTCTATGCCAGAGGCTTCAGGACCCGTCAGGCTTGCCAGAAAGTTACAAAAGCAATTCCGAGTCCCCTCCTGGCTAAACATGACCAACCGGATGTCTTTTGGTAAAATACATAGGACAGTCAACCTGTAAGGGAAGGCCGCTGAGACTACCTGCTACAGCAGTTGTGCCTCCATCCTTACGGGGCTGGACTGAGATCCACTTCAGTCTCCGCATGACAGGCACAGTGTGAGTGAGCTAGGACATCTGCCTTCCAATAGGAATTCCCATCCATTTTTCACAATTGTCCTTTCAGGAAAGCCAGTTCTGCACCTTCAGAGGACCACAGTCCAGTTTCGGGGCCCCACACAAAGCCTGGCGTCAAGGATCTCTGCAGGACAGCTGTATAGCACACAGGCAGCCGAGGACAAGAAGGAGGAGGCCCTGCACTCCATCATCAGCAGTACCGAGGCTGTGCAGGGTAAGCCTAGAGATGTAGGTCTTCTGGGAAGTGTCCACCATCTCAACGCCTGCAGCTCCTGGCGATCACCTGCTGTGTCTTGCCCCCTCTGGTGGTCGTCCGAAGAATCTGCCAACTGGCAATAATGACAAGTGGTGGTAGTCACTGAAAGGGAATACTTCCCCAGCAGTTGCAGGACAGGAAGGCTGTTTCCAGGCCCAAGGGCCATCTCCAGGGCCCAGGGGCTCCACTTCTGGCTTTTGATGGAAACAAGGACAGAACTGTTGATGTTGACAAGTGAGGCTTTCTTATAATTTTGCTTTTTGAATAATTTATTAGAGCACATTCTTTTGGAGAATACACAGTAGAACCTGGTAGCTAAGGCCATCCTGGGTCTCCAACCACACACTCTGGGAACTCGGCCTCCCCAGTTTGCTGAAGCCTTACTTAGTCCCCACGTGGCCCTCTCTATGGCTGCAGTGTTGTTCCATGTCCTTTATTCTGAAAGAGTCTGTTTAAGTGTCCACTTCTCTCAGTCATTCCTCTGTGTTTAAGAGTCAGGACCTTAACCATTCTTTCAAAAGGTACAAAAATGGAAATGCAATTTCATTGATTGTGTCAATGACTCATTACCAGGTTCTGTCTCCAAACATGAGTTCCAGGCAGAGACAAAGAAACTTTTGGACATTGTGGCTCGTTCCCTGTACTCAGAAAAAGAGGTAAGATGTGTGTGCATCACTCCCCAGGCTGGTCAGGGGTCTGGCAAAGCTGCTTCCATGCCGTCCTAGGAAAGTGCCAAATCTAAGTCCTGTGCACGCTGTCAGAGGGCGTGGGGTGTGGGCTGAGGACAGGCCCCACTCTGGGTCCACTGATGAGGGGTTCTTACAGTGTCTGCTTTAATTTCTCAGATCAGTATACCAGATGGTTCTTTGGGCCAGGTCGACTTTGGGAGTTAATTAAATTTTGCTGATAGTCTTTAAGTCTCCCAGTGCCGGCCCAGGCATCCACTCTGTTCCTGCAGGGCGGTGCTGTGCTTTGAAGCCCTTGTGGTTGTACGGCCTCCTCGGACTGCAGGCCTGGGCCTCTGTAGTGAGGACCAGAGAGTGGGCGCTGCAGCAGAACTCTACTTCTTTTCCAAGACAGGGCCTCTTACGCCGCTCTATAGCTAAGGATGACCTTGTTCTTATTGTTTTCTCACCTTTATTTATTTTGTGTGTGCATATTCCATAGTACTCATTAGAGGTCAGTGGATTCTCTCCTTCTACCTTGTGGGTCCTGGGATCACACTCAGGTCACCAGGCTTGGCAGAAAGTGCTTTGACCTACTTAGCTCTCTTGCTGGCCTGGTCTGGAACTTTTTTTATACAGTCTAGGGCTTTCATTTGTTTTTTGTTTTTTGTTTTTGTTTTTGTTTTTGTTTTTTTTTGTTTTTTTTTTGGTTTTTCGAGACAGGGTTTCTCTGTGTAGCTTTGCGCCTTTCCTGTGACTCACTTGGTAGCCCAGGCTGGCCTCAAACTCACAGAGATCCGCCTCTGCCTCCTGAGTGCTGGGATTAAAGGCGTGTGCCGCCGCCACCGCCCAGCCTTTCATTTGTTTTTGCACTTTAAGCCTGGCTAGGAATGTCCATCAGGGCCCCAAATACTCAGGGCCACTGGCTTTTGAACAGGGGGTGGGGGCGGGTGGAGTAGTGGGTGCAGTAGGCCAGCACTTCAATTCAACCTAGATGCCTTTCTCTTTGGCTTCCTCTTTTCCTGACCATTTTCCTTCACCCATGACGGGAAGCTGTCTAAGCTCTCAGAATGCTTCATGTGTTCAGTATGCAGCACACTAGTTCTCTCAGCGGCAATCTCGCATTTAACAGCATTCTAGGTGACATTGTAATCCCTAGTTTTGCCACAGTGAACATTTATGGAGCATTCCTTTTTGAACAGTGTTTAGTCCCTTGATGACTAGCACCCTTCTTGTGGACTTGCATGTGTGAGGCCGAAAGAACACTCCGTGTTTTCTAAAAGGCCTGAAGGCCATGGGTCTGGTGCTTCTCCTCCTTTCCTTTGTGTTTGTCATTTGGAAAAATTCCTGGAAGATGGCAGCTCACCCATCCTTCACCCTTGCTTCCGCCACACCAGCTGTGAGGGCTAACATCACGGACACGTGTCCCTGCGCTTCATTTTAGAGATTCTTTTTGAGGAGGTTAACATTCACTTTTTTGGTGCTGAGAATCATGCCCATAGTCTTAGTGCTGGGGAGAGTAAGACAATAGGGTTATGAGTTCGAGGTCAGCCTGGGCAACACAGAGAGACTGTCTCCAGACAGTGGCAACAGCAAAAACAAAATCCGTACAGGTGTGACAGACAGGACTTGGGAAAAGTCAAGAAAACTGCCACCAGCAGAGGGTGGTTGTACACACCCGGAACTCTAGCACTTGGGAAGCTGAGACATGAGAATCAAAAAAAGAAAAACCTGAAAAGGGAAACTTGCTCTCTCAGTGCAGCTAACGCTGAGATTCTGAAGTAGCACTGTGCCTATTTCACAGAATTAAAGGATCTTCAGGAAGCACTCTCCTTGGTCTCGTGTTATCCACTTCCTGTCTGTTCTCATGAGCTCTGTGTGTAATCGAGGCCTCTGACCTTTTCTGTGAAAGGTCAAGGCTCGTGTTTGGCCCCCTGGATGAAATGAAGCAGCACTTTCTCTTTTCATGGTGGTGGGGACAGAAGCCAGGCCCTGGTGTGATCAGGCAAGTGTCCTGCCTGTGTTCCCAGCCTCACCTCCTCTTGGGGTAGGGAGCAGAGTCTCACTAATTACCCAGGCTTCCTCTCATGAGTATTGAGTTCACAGTCTTCTGCCTCGGCCTCCCAAGTAGCTGAGACTACAAGCCTCTGCCACCAGGCTGCATGGCGTGGCAGTGTCCCTTTCCTCATGGAGTAAGAGAGACAGACATTTGGAGAATGTTTACCATCTTGTGCAAGTCAAGGGCTGCTCACAGGCTTCGAAAAGTCTGAGTTCACATGTAACTTCAGGCTTCATTGAACATCCTGAAGGAGAGGTTTGCTACAGAGCATGTGCTGAGGAGATGTCATCCACTGAGGGAGACTGGGTATTGTTGCAGGTCCTCAACTACAGCCATTGCAACTCACCAGTCAGAGCTCTGTCAGCGCCTTTCATCTTCCTGCCTCTTGCTCCATTCCCTAGGTGTTTATTCGAGAGCTCATCTCCAATGCCAGCGATGCCTTGGAGAAACTGCGGCACAAGCTGGTGTCTGAAGGCCAGGTGCTGCCAGAATTGGAGATTCACCTGCAGACTGATGCCGAGAAAGGCACCATCACCATCCAGGTACTTCTGTCCCGGCATTACCTAGCTCCTCCTCAGGAAACAACCCGACTGAGCAGACTCAGGGAGGCGTGCATTCCAGTTCTAGCTGGCCCAAGTGCTGTGCTGGCCGTTCTTCCGGTCTGAGGACTCCTGCTCACCCGGCACTGACAGAAGAGAAGGAAGTTTAGAATTACCTCAGTGGTCTCTTGAAGAGTGAGAGTGATGGGGGTTTCTTTTTACTGTTTGTGGTACTGGGGATTTAACCTAGAGCCTGCTACACACTAAGTAAGTTCTCCATTGCTGACTTCTTTGTACTCTTGGGTCAGAGTTTATCATTTCTTTTTGTTTGTTTGTTTTCAAGACAGGGTCTCTCTGTGCAGCCTTAGCTGGCCTGGAACTCGCTCTGTAGACCAGGCTGGCCTCAAACTTACAGAGATACACCTGCCTCTGCCTCCCGAGTGCTGGGATTAAAGGCGTGCACCACCGCCTTTCTCTCTTTTTAAAAGATGTATTTATTTTTATTTATGTGCATGTGCGCTATGTGCGTGCGTGCGTGCGTGCGTGCGCACCAACATGCATTCAGATGCCTGAGGAGACAAGAAGGGGGCAGCACACCCCCAGGAAGTGGAGTTAACTGTGTGGACACTCAGAACCAGCTCTGGTCCTCTGCAGGAGCAGTCAGCATATTAGCCGCTGGGCCATCTCCCAGCTCTCGTCATTTATTGTCTTGTATGCTTTTACTGATTTGAAGGGAAAGTTTTGCTTCTGAAAAAGACAATACTTTTTTCTTCTAGAAAACATTCAGAAAATGTTTTCTTCTAGAAGTTTTTTACTTTAGCTCTTCCATTAAGATCTGTGATACTTTGCAGTGAACTTGCGTGTATGGTATGAGGTGAGGGCTGAAATTGACCCTGTGTCCCTGGCTCCCATTTCTGCACTGTCTTAAGAAGTTGACTCCATTGCATCATCCTGGAACCGTGGTGAGAAACGCAGTGGCACACTGCCTGCACGGCTTCCGGTCCTGTCAGCCACGGTCCTGGAGCACTCTGCCTTCACTGCTACTGCTTTATAGCAAGTCTCAAGATAGTTCTTTTGAAAAATATTCCAAGTTCTCTGGATTGCTGTATAAATTTTGAGTCAGTTTGTCAAGTCATATAAAACTTGGGAAGACTTGTTGGAGTGCGGTGAATCTACAGGTCAGCCTGGGAGGAAAGCAGAGCAAGTCAGAAGCAGAGAGTACCAGGTACATTTTCTCCCTTGGATCAGCCTAACAGGAACATTTTCTTTAAGGGGTCTGTAGAAAGTTCCAGGGTGTCTGTGGGATGGCATATACCTATAATAGTTTATATATAATATAGCACTGGGGAGACTAAGGAGAATCACAGATCCAAGGCCAGCCTGGGCTGCATACTGAGACTCTTTCTCAAAGCAAACCAGAACAAGAGCAGCTTTAAAAATCCTGGTATACTAAGATAAGTATTTCCTTAAGTTATTTAGTGACCAACTAGAAACCAAGTTTTATATAAGTTTATTGGCATAGTTAATACATAGAAATTAATTTTAAATCATTCTTTAATTATAATTTTTCATGTTCCACAACAAAAGTTTCAGACGATATCTTGGAGAGAATTAGTTAGAAGGTTTTTGTTGCCCTTTGTTTCGGGTCCTGGCCCATGCCACAGGCATGAGCTTGCAGATGACAGCACTGAGGCTTTGTCCAGCCATGTTGTGCTGCCCACTGCTGGCACAGCTTCTTGTTCCAGCTTGATTGTCAAAGGTGCTTGCTCGCTTGTTGATTTCTACTTACTTGGTTGTTGAGAATCACATATGTGAGAACCGAACTTAGACTATGTCTAGCCCCTCTCCTCCACCCAGCCCCAGTGTCGAAGTTCTTGTCTTGCTCTGGTCTGTGTTGACGTCATTGCCCGAGCCCTTGGTAGGGCTGGCGTCCCTTCACACCGCCCTGGAGCGGCGTCCCCGAGGAAGAAGAAACTGCTTCTGACTGCTTTTCTCCCGTTCTCAGTTGATGAAGCGTTGGCATCTGGAGTATTCTTCAGTTGTGTGGTGGGGCAGCGGAGAGGGGTTGATGAAAAGCAGTTGTTTTTGTGGTGAGGAACTCAAGTAGGGTGTGGTGGGACTTTGAAGGAAGAAGAGCCTGTAATGGCGGAAACCTTGGGTTTTCACAGATGTAGTGGCCTGAGTCTGTATCTGCTCAGAATGCTGTCACCTGATAGTTTATGAATGGCAGAAAGTACTGTCACAGTCTGGACACTGGGCAGCCTGTGACCAAGGCATTAGCACATCACACATCTTTCTGTGTCCTTACATGGCCTCCATATGCTGGCTGGCTTTATGTCAACTGGACAAGGCTAGAGTCATCTGAAAGGAGGGGCTTAAATTGAGAAAATACCTCCATAAGATCCGGCAGTAGGACATTTTCTCAAGTAGTGATTGATGGGGCAGGACCCAGCCCATTGTGGGTGGGGCCACCTCAGGTAGGTCGTCCTGGATTCTGTAAAAAAGGAGGCTGAGCCAGCCATGATGAGCAACCCCTCCATGGTCTCTGTATCAGCTCCTGCCCTGCTTGAGTTCCTGCCCTCATGGCTTTTGATGATGAACTGTTCTATGGGACTGTGAAAGAAATAAACCCTTCCCTGTCCCAGTTCCTTTTGCTATGGTGTTTCGTCACAGCAGTAGTAACTCTAAGACACCATGCCAGTGGCTCCTCAGGCCTCTTTGGAGTTCGAGCTTGGTGTATGTCTATGTGTTCCCAGGGATGGAACCCAACCTTGCACAAGCCAGGCAAGCGTTCTGTTCTGGAGCCCAGGCTGACCGGGAACTCAGCAAGGAGCCCAAGCTGGCCTCAAACACACCTCAATCCTTGTGCCTCATCTTTCCAAATACTGAGATTACAGGTGTCAGTCAGCACACCTGACTCACAGCCTTTGACTTTTATTTATGTAATTATTATTATTATTATTATTATTATTATTATTATTATTATTATTATTATTTTATGGGCATTGTGGGGGTAGTTCCCATGACCTACTCCCCTTCAGATGTCCACATGCTAACACCATCCCTTGGGGGAACAGGATCTATCAGAGGCCTGCTGCAGGAGGAGAAGACCTGTGGCCTCACAGGAGAGTTGCACTGGCCAGGGGACTGCAGGACATCCTTCCTGCTTGCAGAATTAAACCGCCCCCTCACTTTGCACAGGACACCACAGTTGTAATCACTGCCTCAATTGTTCTGTCTGCATCAGAAGAGCCACTAGAGGATGGGTGTGGCCAGGGTATTCCTCAGTGATGGAGCTGGATGTTTACATGTTGACTTGCTGACTTAGTTTCTTCTTCCCAGGATTGGTTTTGTTTGTGTTTGGGGGCTGAGGATGGAACCCAGGCCCTCCACAAAGGAGCTAAACTACTGAGCTGCACCCTGGGCCTGGGGTGTTTTCAGTGATGAGTTCTCTGATATTGCAAACTGACAGGACTGAACTTTCTGATGAGCTTGTAGTATGCTTCCTCAGCCCTGCCTGTCCAGTGTCACAGAGACTATCAGTAATCCTGGCGCTGTCCATCTGCTTTGGCCTAGCTGTACAGGGACTGTGTGTGACAGTATCTCTCTCTTCAGGACACTGGCATTGGGATGACACAGGAGGAGCTGGTATCCAACCTGGGTACAATCGCCAGATCGGGATCAAAGGTAGGTATAGCCTAGAGCATTGTCCCTCCCCTCCAGGGTGGGCACTGTGGGACCATAGAGAGGTTTCTGTTAGTGGCCTCATTTTAGAGCAGAGATTGAAGTCACTGCTCAGAGCTGCAGCATAGTGAGTGATCACTTTGAAGCCTGCCTGTCCAAGTCCAGGAGAAGCCATTCCATTTCCTGATACTTGTCTTCCAGTTAGCTATCAGCCACCCCCTGAGACAGTCAGCAGAGGTGGCCACTTCTCCCAAGCAGCATTGCTTTCAAGAATGACCTTGGGCCACCCTGCCTACAGGTGCAGTGGCTCTCTGGACAGCCAGCCATTAGCAGTCCCAGTGAGATGGAAGCTATGCTGGGCAGACAAGATGTCTCTGTCCTGGGATCCTCAGCGAGGATCCTGTGTAGTTTTCTGTCTCTTTCTGTTTGTGTAAATGGCATCATTAATAAGCCAAATAAGTCTCACAGGAATTTCTACTTTAAAAAATTTCTGTACTGTGACTTCTGCCCATGAAGTTCTTTATTGAGTTTTGTGTGAGGTAGTCTGCACTATCTCAGAGACCAGCTGTGAGCTACACGTGCTGGTTTAAATGAATAAAAACAGAATGAGATGTGCCGTCAGCTCATTGGTCGCGCTGGCCAGATGTACTGGAAGTTGCTGTGTTGCATGTATGTGGAAGACAGATCTGCAGGATGTTCTGGACAGTGGACTCCGGCCACGTGAGGATAGCCAGTCTGGCACTGGGGTGTTTGCAGAAGCATGTGTTCACCCTCTGTGTCTATGGGACCCCAAAGTGAAAGTATTTATAAAAAGTGGTGCCTGTCCTGAACACACTTGTTCTTTAAACAGTGTGCTCTGACTGTTTATACTCTGGGTACTGTAAGAAGGGGTGGTCCTCAGGATGGGGGCAGAGAGCAGATTATAGAGAAACTGCTTTAAAGAAGATGCTTAGCATCCATGGATCTTGTACTCTGGCCCTGGAACTATACCCCAGGGTACCAAGGGACAGTGTGCCAAGGTTGTACTGTTTCCCACAAGGTTTAGAGCCTAGGAGACATGGCACCCGGACAACTTTCACAGTTCCTCTGGGCCCACCGACTCAGAAGGTCAGGTTGCCTCCTTCCCTGTCCGGTATGACCTGAAGTTGTTGGCAATGAGCAGTGTGAATAGCATACAGCCATGTCCCTGCCTGGGCCAGCAGGATGGCTCTGGGCAGCTTGGTCCACCTTTTGTTGACTTAGTCCTTTATGAGAATGTAGGGTGGCAGAGAAGGTAGCAATGCTAACTACGCTCTTGGCATATGCCAGAGGACCGTGCTAGGCACAGCCCAGGTGGGATCAGCCTCTCTGAGCAGTCTTTGCTACCACAGGCCTTCCTGGAAGCACTGCAGAACCAGGCAGAGACCAGCAGCAAGATCATTGGCCAGTTTGGAGTGGGCTTCTATTCGGCCTTCATGGTGGCTGACAAAGTTGAGGTCTATTCCCGCTCAGCGACCCCAGAGAGCCCAGGTTACCAGTGGCTTTCAGATGGGTAAGTAAGAAGGGGCCCACCTAACAGAGGCGATGTCCCTTCCCTCATGGCACTCAGAATCTAATGTCATTTGGCACACAAACTAGAATTCCCCGGGAGCTCGCAGAGTTGACTTGGGGGTGTTGAGACAAGGTCTTTCCAGTTAGCACAAGTTATCCTGGAATTCCGTATGTAGCTAGTTGGCCTTGAACCCACAACAGTCCTCTTGTCTTAGCTCCTGAATGTTGGGATCACAGATGTGCACCACTGTATCCAGCAAGAGTTAGAAGTTCCTTAAGATGCAGTTGTACAGTTTGAGGGCTGTTGATAGGAAGCCTGACTCTTCTGCTTTGGGAAGCCAAGTGGCCTTGGGCATGGGTCACTGTGCTCTGTGGTACTGTCCTACTTGGGTTAGGCTCTTGGTAGTTCAGTGAAGAACAGGCCTTCCTCTGGTGCCCCAGCCTGCAGCTAGCCTTCCCTGGCCTTGGTGCTGTGGGAACCCCCTTTTTCCTCCTGACCTTTATGTTTTCTAGTCTTGACGCAGTCACCTACCCAGCTCCTTGGGGTCAGGGGCAAGCCAGTGTGGGGCCTTTCCCAAGACAGGACTCACTTGCCAGCCTCTCTGTCGGGCACGGTGCTCTCAGGAGTTTCTTCTCCCGTGTGCACCTTGGGGTGATGTCTGAGAAGGAGACTAGGGACAATAAATTCAGGCTTCATTTGAAGAGAGTGGGGCCTTAACCAAACTGAAGCTTGCTTCTGTTTTTCCAAACTTGATATCTGATTTTCTCAATTTTAATTAGTCCTTGAGGACTTCATACAATGGATTTTGGTCATAGTCAACCACACCTCTCAGACCTACCCCCTTGCCAACCCATCCAACTTGGTGATATCTCTCTCTCTCTCTCTCTCTCTTTGTATATCAAGTTCAATTTGTGCTACTTATATATTCTTGGATGCCTTCATAGTGGTCTGCTTGCCAGATGACCTTAAAAATGATTTTTCCTGCCAGGCAGTAGTGGTGCACTCCTTTAATCCCAGCACTCGGGAGGCAGAGCCAGGCAGATCTCTGTGAGTTCGAGGCCAGCCTGGTCTACAGAACAAGATCCAGGACAGGCTCCAAAACTACACAGAGAAACCCTGTCTCAAAAAACAAAACAAAAAGTGATTTTTTTTTTCCCCTTTCTGAGCAGCTCTCAATTGCAAATAACTCCTTAGCTAGTGCTCACCTCCCTTTCCCATGCTGGGATTTGTCTGGCTCGAGCTTTTGTTGGTCTTGTGCATGCTGTCTCATCTACTGTGAATTCCTGTGTGTAGCTGCCTCTGGCTCTTCAGTCTTTCCATCCCTCTTCACAATGACCCTGAGCCTTAGGAGGAAGGGCTGTGAGACAGATGTTTAGTTTATGGCTAAGCGTCCCAGTCTCCTGGTCTCTGCACTCTCAACAGTGTGGGTCTCTGTGTTAATTACTGTCTTCTGTGTTCTGTCGCTGTGACAGACACCACGACCAAGACATAGAGGAAAGAAAATGTGTGATTGGGCTGATGGTTTTAGAGCGCTGAAGTCCGTGATGGTGGAGCAGAGGCGTGGTGGCAGAGGGCATGCTGGGAATGGTGCCAGTCTTTTGAAGCCTCCAAGCCTGCCCCAGCGGGACCCTCCAAACAGGACCACACTTGCTAATCTTTCCCAAACAGTTCCACCAACTGGGGACCAAGTATTCAAACATGAACCTCCGGGAGCCAATCTCATTGAAACCACCACGTGTTGTGAACAAAAGCTTCTGTGATGAGGGTTGGCAGAAGCGCTAATCTGGGGTATACTGTAAGTTGTTGGAAGTCAGTTGAATACTGTGTCCATTCAGCAGAGTAGTAGAACTAGCTTCTCCCCTGGGCCTACGACCTGCCTGGCCACAGGTTCTTCCCTGATAATTGTGCCGGGTAAGGAAGGGCTTGGACCTGTGGACTGAGCTCCAGTCTAATCAGACAGCAGCTGGTTGCTCTCGTGACGGTCGTGGCACTGTTGCACGGGTGGGCGTGTCCTGCCAGCCCAGCCATGGTCGCAGCTTCAGGTCCACAGCTGGGGAGAAGAGTGGTGATGTCTTTTCTCCTTGGGAGTGTGCACAGCGCCTTCCAGCACTGGGAAAGCTAGCCAGTGGGGATGAAGCTTCCAGGTGAGTGCCAGCTTGATTTTCCATGGCCTGTGACTCATTGTGTGGTGTCTGCAGCAGTAAGATCTTATCGTAAACTTTGAAGGGTAACCAAGAGCATTGGCAGGAATGTGTAATGTTCTGGTTGGGGGGTGGTGTGTGGAAACTCACTAGCTAACAACTCCAGAAGAGGTAGCCTATTCCCGGCACTGGGCGATTTGCTGTCCTGTGTATTAAGGAGGGGCGTTGTTGCCCCATTATAGGGTAATGGGTTTAAACTGTTTGTACGTGTGTGTTCATATTTTAGGAAGCATCTGTAGTAGATTTCCATAGGACTTTTTTGAAATGTCCTTAGCATTAAGTTATTCCTTTCTGTATTCCCTCCTCTCCCTGTGCTTCCATCCCTCCATTTTATCCTTTATACCACTGTGTTCTGACTCCCCTCCTGTGATATCCACCTTGCCTGTGGCTCCTTAATAATTTCCTGACCTTGTGGGTATTCCAGAATGAGCACACACTGAAAATTCAAAGCCAATATCCACAAATGAGAGAAAACAGAAGGCATTTGTCTTTCTGGGTCACATGGGTTTTTGTTGTTGTTGTTGTTTGCTTTTTTGTTTGTTTGTTTAAGGGCAAACTAGCAAGGTTTTATTGAGAATTAGAGTAAGGTCTCCCTGCAGGGGTCTCTAAATGGGTTGCCCTGAGTTAGATTTTTAGTTTCCTCTGCACACTCCTGGGCCTGGAAGCTGCCTCTACAGACCCTTCTTTAGTCTGTATTTCAGCAAATTCCTGAGAGCAGTTCATAGTGGACACTACACAGTGCTAGCAGGGAAGGGTTGATGGCAGAGCAGAGGACCTTACCTCTACTTGCATTTCTGAAATTGTTTCTGCTCACCTTGGGGGTCCTCTAGCCATTACCAGTCATGAGCCACATAGAATCAGCCCCTTCCCCAACATCCTGTGCTCATGTGGAGTTGAGCTAGGCCTGCTCCAATCATGTGCCCAGGAGGTTCTCATAAAGGGTGAGGGATGACTGAGGAGTCCCAGCACTCATACCCTGTACCAATTTCCAGCTGTCCTTGACCCCAATATCTGTTCGGTGACATGGGGATTTTGCCAGAGTCAGAAGCTAGAGTGCTAGGTATGGGAGTGCAGAGCTGTAATTCCAGCATGCAGGATGCTGAGGCAGGAGAATCATGAGTTTAAGTCCAGCTTGGGTAACTTAGCAAGATTCTGTTTAAGAAAGGAGAACAAGGGAAGAACGGGCAGTCAGTCTTTGCTCCTTCCCACACTCTAGTGTGGGCTCCACTTGTGAAAATCCCAAGGAAGTGATTGAACCTGCCCACCAGGCTTCTTAACAAGCTGTGCTCTCCTCATGTTTTAGTTCTGGAGTGTTTGAAATCGCTGAAGCTTCCGGAGTTAGACCTGGGACCAAAATAATCATTCACCTCAAGTCAGACTGCAGAGACTTCGCTAGCGAGTCCCGGGTGCAAGGTAAGGACAGGCAGACCTGCAAGGCAGACGTGCCTGGGTGAGGGCCTGGGCACAGCACAGATGGGTCAGGAGAGGACTCAGCCTCCCACTCAGCTGCCGCGTCTGTGGAAAGTGAGTTCTCCCAGCCCTGTTTCAGGAATCTCGGTGGTGGGGCTGTGTAGCCTCTGTCACTTCCTGCTGGGGTTGGAAGTCTGTCGTGCCCTGAGATCCGGGGACTCTGCCACTTTCTGGGCAGAGCCTTCTAAACCTAGGCCTCTGAGAGCTGGGGAGAGGTGAGGACTTCAGCAACTCTCGGCTCTCACTGAGGGCTCTTGAGAGCTCAGCAGACCCTGTACCACCAGATGGCCTCCTGTTCCCATGTGGATGGTGACCGGAGGGGTCTGTGCCTGTCTAAAGCTTTGCATCTGCCTGCCTTGTGCAGAACAGGCAAGACCTCCCTGGGGGCTGTTGGTCCTCACTGTGTCTCTCTCTCCTCCAGATGTGGTGACAAAGTACAGTAACTTTGTCAGCTTCCCCTTGTACCTTAATGGAAGGCGGATTAACACCTTGCAGGTGAGGCCCTGGGCTGCCTGTGAGGCTCAGGCAGCTGCAGACACCCTCTCAAGGATGTAAGGGAGAGATGAATATAGGGGGACGTTGCTTAGAATCACAAGAGAGATGAGAGCTAAGGATACAGGCAGTTTTCCTTGAGGTATAAGTCACATATCACAAAGTGCCTTGCCCCCACCCCCCACCCCCCACCCCCAGTTTAGTGAGTGGTAATTGTTTATACAGCAAGTCATACCTTCACAACTGGTTTTAGAACACTTCTAGCATCCTGAAAAGCAGGCCTGTCCACTAGCAGTTCTCATCCCGAGACCTTCCTGACAGCCACAATCAACTTTCTCTTTCTGGATTTGCCTAATTTGAACATTGTCTAGCAATGGAGTTACACTGTAGCAGGCATATCCTTGTTCCTTTTTGTGACTGAGTAGTATTCCATCTCTCGGATAGATCAGGATAGATCACATGTATCAGCTTGCCTGTTGTCTCTACTGAGTATACCCATGCCCCGTCCCCTGGTTAGTCCTTCCCAGCATGCTGTCACAGGGAGGGGCTCTTGTTCCAGGGCCTTTTGTATCTCACTCACCTTCAGCCTGCACCAATGTGGGGGCTTCCTAATCCCTGCTGGTCTGTCTGTGGGTCTCATCCCAGGTCTACGCAGTCATTGAGAAACACGTTTTGAACATGACACTTCCCTTTTGATATCAATCTTTAGGCCATCTGGATGATGGACCCAAAGGACATCAGTGAGTTGCAGCATGAAGAATTCTACCGTTACATTGCTCAGGCTTATGACAAACCCCGCTTCACTTTGCACTACAAGACAGATGCACCACTCAACATCCGCAGCATCTTTTATGTGCCAGAGACGGTGAGGTGCTTGGCTGTTCACAGCATTGCCCTGGATCCAGGACTAACTCACAGCGCACAGGGAGGGGTGGGGGGTCCCTCAGAAGAGCTGCATATAGTTGCCGGTGTATGTTTGCCATTGTGGTGCAGGCTTGAGGCTTCTGCAAACGACTGCTGCTCCCACCTCCCCTCTGCCTCCCTGGTTTGCAGCAGCAGCTCTGCCGAGTGGAAGCCTAGTCAGGTTCTCCTCCCTGCCCTCCCTCAGTGGACCCTGGCAGCACTCAGTTCATATTGTTCTCTGGAACAGGGCTGGGCTGGCGCTGGCCCTACCTGACCATGAGTGAGGTATTCGGGTAAGACTATTGACATCCATGGATTAGCAGAAATGCTGAGTCTCAGTTCATTGGGACTTCCTAGATCAGCCCCCACGGCAGCTGCAGCCAGTGCAGAGTGGGTGTTTTCTAAGAGGGGGCCAGCAGGGTTTTGGCTTTGTGATCCCAGTGTGAGCATTGCTAACTCTCAGTTGGTGCCTAAGTGGACCAGTGAGGCTGCAGGCCATGGGACCTGTAATGCCCAAATTCCAGCTCCATGGCTTCATGTGTCGGGAGAGAGTCCTGTTTTCCCAGGGCCAGGCCCCATCTGCAGTGTGCTGGGAAGGCTCTGCTGACTTTGGCCTGGAGGCTCTGGTTTGCAGCTTCTGACTCCTGCTAACATGTGACTGTTTGGGGGACAGAGAAGACTTGTTTGGTGTCCTCTATTGGGTGCAGCTTGGGGAGGGTGCCCCATCCCCTCCAGAGCACTTGTAGATTTTAGCAGAGCTGACCCATGTGAGGACTAGGTACATTCTTCTCTCATCTTGGCCTTGTTCGCCCCAGGGCATCATCTGTGTGGCCTAGGGAGCTGTTGGCTCTCTGCCATGCTGCCCTTGATCCTACCTTCCCTTTGTCTGGAGGATTCTGCTGTTAGCACCTGATCATATTCTTTCCTTCCTTCCAGAAACCATCCATGTTTGACGTGAGCAGGGAGCTGGGCTCCAGCGTGGCACTGTATAGCCGCAAGGTCCTCATCCAGACCAAGGCTACAGATATCCTGCCCAAGTGGCTGCGCTTCGTCCGAGGTACTGTTGCTGCCACCCAAGCTCTGGTGTGGACCTGGTGTCCTCAGTGTCACAGTCATGTGTCTTCACGCTGCACACTGTATTTGCTGTCTCAAACCACCATCACCCAGTGGGACTCGGCATGCAGCAGGCAGGGGCCTGCAGCGCCTCTGGGAAACAGCCGAGGTGTCCTGGTGGATCAAGGAGGCAGAGGAGCGTTGAGTTCTTTCATGTTTAGAAATTTGGCTTGAATTTGAGATTTATGCCTGAGTTATGCTGGACCTGAGATTACAGTTCAGTACAGAGTTCAGCATTCACTTTCATAGCGCACAGACCAACACTATCCATGATACAGTTAGACACTTTTTTTCTTTTGAGACAGAGTCTTAGGTGTAGCTCAAGCCACAGTCCCTCGAGTTCTGAGATTACACACTAGCTTAGTACTTTGAAGTTGAATGCCAGAACATGTTTCCTGTGTGCCCCAAACAGGCACCAACCCCCTGCACAGGCCAGTCCTGCCCTTAGACGGTTTTACCCTGGGGACTGCTGTACTGCCCACCACCCTGTGCAGGACTGAGGAGCAGCGTCCCCTGCCCTTCCTGACCCTCTTTTACCCCCCATGGCTCCCATGAGGCCAGAAAGTGAGGAGAAGGCATTCAGAATGTGAAGACCTCAGGTAATGGCTGAGGTCCCATCTGTACAGCAGTTCTGATGTTCGCTGTCTCCCCAGGTGTGGTGGACAGTGAGGACATCCCCCTGAACCTCAGCCGAGAGCTCCTGCAGGAGAGTGCGCTCATCAGGTAAGCCTAGATGGCACCTGGCCTGGCATTCTCGTGAGGGCCGTCCTTGACTTGGTCTGCCCAGGTGTAGCTTCCAGAGCCAAAACCAGAGGGAGAAGAGAGGCCTGCGGGCAGGGTCCCCCATGACCTCCATGTCCTGACCTTTGTCTGAGGTTTACTGTTGAGCAGCCCATTCATTCTGTGGTCAGGAAGAATTTGGGATTGGCTAGGCAACTGCTGAGGTCGAGCCCAGAGGCAGTGGAGCTGTGGTGGGGCCAGGCTGGGCTGTCCCCTTTGGTCACAGGCTCCAAGTCGTGTTCTGGGAAGGAAGCACTTGGAACAGCTGCACAGTGGGTACATCTTATTTACCCAGGCTCCTAGGGTAGAGCACAAGCTCCTTTTCCCATTAAATACAAACGCACAATGAATGGAGAAAGGACTTGGTCCGCTTCTCAGCCCACTCTGATGCTGTGAAGAACCCAAAGCTGCAGAATGCATGCCGGCAGTGCAGGGCGGCTCCGCCCCCAGGACGCTGCCTTCCCATGCTGGTGGGGAGGGTGTCGTGGTTCATGGGCAGGCACAGGACGGCTCGGAATGCCTAAAGGGGCAAGTGCACTGTTGCCTTGCTCTCCACTAATAAAGAAGGTTGTGGGCTGTCTTGGGCTGTCTTTGAAGAATTACTGGTGTTGGGAGATGACCCCAGCTCTGACCCATCCCCTCCACACAGCCTAGGTATGGCCACAGTTGGAGAGACTCTAGGCACCATGTCTCAGAGTTGGGTGAGGCAGGGGTGACCCTGGAACCAAGCCCAGAGATGAGTTGGGTCTGGGAAGCTCTTCTGAAACTAAGAGGTCAGGCCTGACCTGTGTGGAGACAGCCTAGAGTCCTGGGGTGAGGTGGCCAGGCTTTAGCTTCCCAGTCTGACTGGGAGGTCCTGCTCATCCTCCACCACCAGCAGCGCCAGGCACTGAGGCAGTCTCCTCAGGAGCCTAAGTGACAGAGAGCGGTGTTCCGCCAGCGCCTCCTTCCTGTTTGTCAGGGCTGGTGGTCAGTCACTCTCCCTGTGCAGAAGCAGCTGCCTTAGTCAGAATGTTAAAAGAATCAGAATCGTCCTGAGTTGGGGAGTGGGCTAAAAATATTTCTTCTTTGGACCCTCTGAGGCAGAGGTGTCTTCCTGGTGCCATTTCCCTCTGTTTTTGGGTGTTGCCAGCCTACGAAGACTTCCTTCTCCCGTAGAACTCGGAACCAGCAATTGGCATTGCTCTGTTGTTGCTGTTGTCTGTCCTCAAGCCCCCTGGGACTGGAGCTTTTACTCCTCAGTTGTGAGCGTGCACGTTTTGTGATGTTGGGTGTCTCCGGGGAGACTCAAGAAATGTGCCAGAGTAGAGAGGGAGCTGGCAGGGAAAATAGAGGCTGTCGGGGTCTGCTTTGTGGGGACAGTTGGGGTTACCTCATAGGAGCGTGGTGACTCACAGGGGCTGCACCAAGTCTACCCCAGCCAACTCCCCACACTTATACTTCAGCATTTCCAAGGCTGGGTGGCTGTGGCAGGAGAATGGTTGGAATTTCAAGGGAGGGTTGGTTTCTGTCCTGCGAAAGTCTTGTGGCCCTCTCTCCTCCTGGAAAGGAACAGTAACCACAGCAGGGGAGCTGTCTGTGGTATGTCGAGTGTCATCACTGCTGTCACTGCTTTGTGCCTGGTGGCAGTGGTCCTGTCGAGTGAGCCCTGAGGAAATAGTCCCAGTTCACTTGCTTTCCCCAGAGCAAGTGGCATCCTTGTGGCATCGAGCCAGGCATTCTCTAGAGGGTCCTGCATTGGAAATGTGTGATGCTCCCAGGGAAGAAAGGTTGGTCCTGTGGGTGGGGTGGGATTTTGACTTGTCCCTCGATTAGTGGTGTTCTCTTTGACACTGGGGTAGAGGGATGTCTTCCAGGCTTCTCTCCGTTCGATGCTCTTGCTCTCTCCCAGTGAGTGTCATGTGAAGTGTAGGTGTGGAAGTTTGTACATGTGCACACACATCATTGTTTTAGGGGGGGTTGTTTTAGTTTTTTTTCTTCTGTTTCTGTTTGTTTTTACAAACAGGTTATTGCCAGCAAGCATTCTACCACTGAGCTGCTTTCCCAAACCAGGGTACTTTTTTATTTAGAAGAATGTAGCTGTAATCTTCAGCAAATCTTCAGTATTTCACCTGGCCCAGGCACACCAGGCACTGGGATTCATGACTCTGGTTCATCACAGCAATAGAAAACCTAAGACGGTGACCGTCCTTTCCTAAAGCCCTCTCCTGTGCACTTGACCCTGACGCCATGAATAAAACTGCTTTAGTGATATCCTTTATGGGATAATGCAGTAAAAGTGTAAAAATGTCCTGCTTACAGAATCACATTTTGCCAAACTACACCGTGTGTGTGTAATCTACTCCGTGTGTCCCAGGTCATGGCTGTGCACAGTACTCACCTAACTTCGAGGAGCTCTGTGGTGTAGGTGCCGCTTTTGCGTGCACACATACTGTACTGTCCCTGGTCCCTACCGGGCTTTTCCTGGGTTTCGTTTTTGTTTTTATCGAGACCAGGTTCTCTGTTACAGCTCTGGCTGTCCTCTGCCTCTTGAGTGCTGGGATTAAAGGCGTGAGCCACCACCGCCTGACTTGTTTTCTGACTCAGCCATTTCTTCCTTTCGCTAGGATTGTTGGGGGCAGTTTCTGGTGCCTTCAGCAGTGTTTGCCCCGTTTTAACCCTAGCCTGTTCAAACTGTTTCGTCATGTTCTACAGTGGACGTCACTCTCCTTTTTTCTGATGCGTGAGTCCTGCTGGTGCTCAGGGTAGACACCTTCTCAAGATGTCCGCTGCTGCTGTCCTCTGGAAGTTCTCACTGCCACTCTCCGCAGGGTACAGTGAGCGTCTCACTTGGGGCCAGTGCAGGGTCTCCTGTTTCTGTGGTTTCTGTTCGGCTGCAGGTGTGCTGCTGGGCCTGTTCCTCCCGTTTCTGGTGCAGTGTGCATTTCTCACGCCCCTGTGGCCCTGGTGCTTCGTAGAAAGCCCTGTTCACAGTCAGCAACTTCTGTTCTCTAGGAAACTCCGGGATGTTCTACAGCAGAAATTGATCAAGTTCTTCCTTGACCAGAGTAAGAAAGATGCTGAAAAATATGCCAAGTTTTTTGAAGATTATGGCTTATTCATGAGGGAGGGCATTGTAACCACTGCAGAGCAAGACATCAAGGTAGGCTGATTTCCGGTCCTCTCGGTTGGTGGAGGCTCTCCTGGACGTGGTGATGAGGCAGGTGGGCACCTGCCCTCTGCTGCGTGCCAGGGGTCAGCAGTGGGAGCTCTGGGCTCCTGGGTCTCTAATAGACATAGCTTATGTCCTTCCCTGTGTTGGGATTCTAACAAGTGTAGAAGGGGCCGCTCTTGGTGAGAGAGGTTTCAGGTGGGTGTGGAGAGGAAGATGTGGCTGGAGCCGAGACACAACTCCAGTGTTTTCTGACTATCTCTTTTTTCTCTTGTTTTTACCTGGGCCCCAGTCTCTGGCATGGTGCCACCCACACTTAATTGTGGCTCCTTCAAGTTGATTTTCTTAGGTCTTTTGTTAGTGAGGGGAAACGAACAGGAATGGAGAGCTTAAATCTGTTAAAGCTGTTGGAATCCAGCCGGGCGTTGGTGGCGCACGCCTTTAATCCCAGCACTCGGGAGGCAGAGCCAGGCGGATCTCTGTGAGTTCGAGGCCAGCCTGGGCTACCAAGTGAGCTCCAGGAAAGGCACAAAGCTACACAGAGAAACCCTGTCTCGAAAAACCAAAAAAAAAAAAAAGCTGTTGGAATCCTTTGTTTGGTGCTGGGGAAGAGGCTGGAAGCACCCTCCCAGACTCACCCAGAGGTGTGCTCTGCTGTCTCCTGGGCACTTGAGTCCAGTCACGGTGACAGTCAAGACCAGCCATCACATACCCTTGTCCCACAGGCCTTGTGCTCTTAGCTGTAAAGCCAAGCCTCTTGTCTCTTGACCCTGGCCCCAGCAGCTGGCAGGAAGAGGGGTGTTGGGGTTCAAGGAGATATAGAAAAGCAGGGTAAGGATGGGGTACAGTTACTGTCTTAGTTACATTTCTCTTTTTCTTTATTTGGTTTTTCGAGTTAGAGTTTCTCTGTGTATCCCTGGCTGTCCTGTAATTCACTCTGTAGACAAGGCTGGCCTTGAACTCATAAAGATCCAGCTACCTCTGCCTCTCTAGTGCTTGGATTAAAGGTGTGCGCCACCACCACCTGGCTCAGCCTGCTTTCTTGTACAACTTAGGACCACTTGCCCAGGGTTGGCACCACCCCACCGTGACCTGCGCCCTCACATCAGTCATGAATGAAGAAGATGTGCACAGACTTGCCTCCAGGCCAGTCTTGTAGAGGAATTTTCTCAGTTGGAAGTCTGTTCCAAATGACTGTAGCTTGTGTCGAGATGGCAAAACCTAGCCAGTAGTCACTGTGTTCTTGGTAGAGTCCTTAACACCCCACTGGAGCCAGGAATTTAGCTGATTATACAGCTAATTGCTGAAAAATGATGCATTGGTTCCTAAACAGTTTGGAACATTTTTATTGAAGTATCACTTGCATGCTGTAAAATCCATCACTGCCCACCAGACTGTCAACAGGTCAGGCAGTACTTGTCTGTTAAGGTCTCCGTTTGTTCTTTGTCCATCACTGTAACAAGAGTCAGGGGATCAGCTTGGAGAAGGAAAGATTGATTTTCACTCAGTGACCCTTTGCCTTTGGTATTTGGGGGCTTTGGTGAGGCATCAGGAGCATGTGGTGACAGGAAGCTAACAAGCTGTGGACAAGGACACCCCAGTCCTAAGGTCCCCACTTCCTGTTAGCCCATTTAGCCATGAGCTCATCAGTGTGCCAGAGCCCTTGGGAGCATTTATGACCCAGTGTATGATACCATTCACTCCCATTGACTTCAGTTTTCAAGATTTATTCATTGATGTGTGCATCTGTGTGTGTGCATACATGTACGCAGTGTGCCATGAAGGCCAGAGAGTGTCAGGTGGTCTTCTCTCACCCTCATCTATGTCTTTTAAGGCACTCTATCTCCCTAAACTCGGAACTTATATTTTCTCAGCTTGCTTGGAAGCTGGAAAGCCCCAACTTGGAGCTGGGGCTGCAGGTGCATGAGACACCTAGTTGTCTGAGTGCTGGGATCTAAATTCTAGCCCTCGGCAAGTGTGTACAGCAAACTCCTGTAACCATTGCGCCTTTTCTCTACTCCTGAGCTCGCTGTTAGCTAAAGCATTTGCTGGGCCAGGGCCTGTTCTAAGTGCTGAGTGCATGTGTCCACTAGGTGGATTTTGTACAGTAAGAGCAGTAAGAGCCAGATGCGCCCTGATGTGGATGTGGCTGCACCTTGCCTTGGCAGGCCTGAAAACCTTTGTCTTTGTCTGCCTCTGTCCACTTTGCATCCAAGGCATGGCGTGTTCATTTGATCTGTCCCCGATTGTCCTTCACACCCTCTCCCCAGGCGCTTGTGCTGGGACGGGCAGAGGTGGCAGTGGCTTGGATAAGGGAGCATCCAAGCCCGCAGCTCCCAGGCCCTGCCGTAATTACTGCTGGTCTTGTTCTGCACGGCCCGTGTGGGCTGCATTGGTCCTATCTGTGGCCCGTTCCCTAAAGGCCTCTCCCTGCTACAGACTCCAGAACTGGTACCACGAACCCTCCTGGCTCTGAGGAGGCAGGGAAATGTGGGATTTTTGTCTGTGTTCAGTTGTCACTGAGGACAGAGAGAAGATACTAGGCCCCAGAGTAGAGTCTGCCACGAATGGAGGCTGGCAACCCTGAAACAGTTTGCCCGGCTCTTCTGGAAGCCACCTAGGTTAAAAGGTTTTCCCACGGACAGTGGGGCTCATGGGCCTGTCTGAACTCTGAGTCCACCATCGTGTCTGGGGGACAGGCCTGGGAGTCATCAAGAATCAGAGTTGGGGGCGCTGCTTCGGTCTCGGCTCTGGGTAAGCCGTGATTCATCCACATGTCTGTAGGAGGACATCGCGAAGCTGCTTCGGTATGAGTCCTCAGCCCTGCCTGCTGGGCAGCTGACCAGTTTATCAGACTATGCCAGCCGAATGCAGGCTGGCACCCGCAACATCTATTACCTGTGTGCTCCTAACCGTCACCTGGCTGAGCATTCACCGTACTACGAGGCCATGAAGCAGAAACACACTGAGGTGAGTGGGCTCTGGCCTGCTGCCGGGCCAAAGATGGTGTCTTAGAGGGTCTGAGCTCTGAGGGAAGGGCATGAACTCCCAACTCTGTGTGGGAAAAAGTGACTGACTGTGTTTGAGGCTGTGTGGTGTAAGGCAGAGCCCTGTCTGTGGTGTGGCTGTCATTAGGTAGATGTATAATATGTGCATCTGCGCCAAGCCACCAGAGCCAGTGTCCTTAGCGTCCCTCTGTGCTGCGGGCTAATCGGCTTGGATGCCTGCAGGTGCTCTTCTGCTATGAGCAGTTCGATGAACTTACTTTGCTGCACCTGCGGGAGTTTGACAAGAAGAAGCTGATCTCTGTGGAGACAGACATCGTCGTTGACCACTACAAGGAGGAAAAGTTTGAGGACACATCTCCAGGTTGACTCCCATCTCTCTCTGGGGCATGGTCCCATGTGAACGTTGGGCAGGAGACTGTCACTTTCCCCAGGGCCATCTTAACAAGTAGTGGGGAATGTCAGGGCCCAGGAGTTGATGATGCTCCTCCTATGGAGGGTCCTGCAATTGACTAGACTTTTGGAGAGAGTTGGAATTGCTCCTACCCTTTTGTTTTGTTTTGTTTTGTTTAAGATAGGCATTCATTTTGTAGCCCAGGCTGGCCATTAACTCCTGACCCTCCTGCCTCACTGCTCTGAGTACTGGAATTACAGGTCTGTGCCACCATGGTTGGGCTCAAATTTTTCTTTTTAAAGTCCTAAAAAATTTACAGAAGACAAGGGTGACCACAAGTGTTTTCAGTGCCAGTGAAAGGCATTTCCAAGAGCCTCTGTCTCTAGTTCCTGGGGAGTGAGCTAGAGATAGCTCAGGAATGTGCTAAATGGCCCCCACAAAGTGAGACTGTGGTTAGGCCCTGGGCTCACTCACTTCTCTGGCACAGCTGGTGAACGCCTGTCCGAGAAGGAAACAGAAGAGCTAATGGCTTGGATGAGGAATGCACTGGGGTCTCGTGTCACCAACGTGAAGGTAACGCCTCCCTGCAGTTACTGTGGAGATGGTGTCTTCTCAGAGCCTGACTCCGCTGTCAGATGCCGGCCTGCTGGGGTCCACAGGATGGCACTGGAGCCAGGGTCGGACTCCACCAGGCACTAGCATCTCACCATCAAAGCTTTGTCTTGCCTGGCACTGTCACTCTCTCAAGCCTGCCAGTCTGTGCTGTCTCTAAACCCCAGTGGGGTCTAGGCCTCAGGAGGGTGCTTCTGAACTTTGGCTTCCTCCTGACCTTACTCTCCTGAGGACCTCACTAACACAAGCGCCTGTTTGTGCCTCCTGTCATGAAGAGGCCTCACCTGAGCAACTCAGGCTCTGCCTCTCCATGCAAGAGGGTCTTCTAGCCACTGGGGAGCAGGGTCGGAGCCAGTCCATACCCCTTGAACAGCTAGCTGTGATCTTTGTCATCATAGCCTGGACAGATTACTGGAGCAGTTGATATAGAAGCCACCATAGGGCCAGTCTGCCTTCTGCCCAGTGACCTGGTTAACTTGGCCCTGCTTCAGACCCTGTCAGCCCTGGGCCCTCATTACTGTGTTCTTCCTCATCCTGGGCCTTGTGTGCAGGTGACTTTCCGCCTGGACACCCACCCTGCCATGGTGACCGTGCTGGAGATGGGGGCTGCCCGGCACTTCCTGCGCATGCAGCAGCTCGCCAAGACCCAGGAGGAACGTGCCCAGCTGCTCCAGCCCACTCTGGAGATCAACCCCAGGTATGCCCAGGCTCCAGCCCACTCTGGAGATCAACCCCAGGTGTGCCCAGGCTCCAGCCCACACCTGTCAGGGGCTCCTACAGATTGTGTGAGCAGAGGATGTCCTGTCTGGAGAGCATTTAAAAAAGCGTGTGTGCGATGTAAGGATGGTTGTAAGAGAAGGCCCTTGGAGTTAGGCAGAAGTTAAAAGGTGCTCCCTGGAAGTTTAAACAGAACATTGCTGATCTAATCTGTTTCCCATTTCCCTTCTAGAGCTCTGTTTACTTGATAAACCACTTCGCTTCTGGTCGTTTTGTTTTTTGTCTTTTGCCTTCTCTGTGCCCTTAAAGCCATTTGTGGCAGGTGCCATTTTTAACTTTATGGGATGGATCTTGGTGCTCGTGGCAGAGTACTGTTCTCAACATTCACTGTGTGGATCCACCTTAGGACAGACATTTGTGTGACTTCAGTTTGGAGCTGTGGGAACTGGTCACTATGAACACATGCTCCTCTAGGTTGTAGAGTCCTCAGTGGTCCAGGCAGTGTGAGCTGCTTCAGCCTGTCCCCACAGAGGGGACCCCAGGTCCGTGATGGGGTGAACACCTTACATTTAGTGACTGCCTTAGAACCTGTCTTCCCAGACTTCTCTCCTACTGAGTTCTCTTCTCTGGTGTTCATCTGTAGTTAGTTTGAGATGGTCTCACCATGTAGCCTTGGCTGTCCTGGAGCTTGCTATGTAGACCAGGCTGGCCTCTCCCTGCCTCCGCCTCCTGTGTTGGCATTAAAGGAGTGTGCCACCATGCCTGGCTTTAGTTTCAAGTGTCTGCTGTCTTAAGGTACTTTGTAGTTTTGGTGCCTGTCCTGGATCTCGCTCTCTAGACCAGGCTGGCCTCAGACTCACAGAGATCCTCCTGGCTCTGCCTCCTGAGTGCTAGGATAAAGGCGTGTGCCACCACCACCCGGCCATCTTAAGGTGTCTTTTAATAACAGGAAGATCTTAATTTTGTTATAATCAAATGTATAAGCCTTAGCTGTTTTAGGGTTTCTGTAGAATCAATTCTTTAAAGAGCTCCATAGTTTTGTTGTTGTTTGTTTGTCTGTTTTTGTTTTATGAGAGAGGGTTTCTCTGTGTAGTCTTGGCTGTCCTGGCCTTGAACTCAGAGATCCCCCTGCCTCTGCCTCCTGAGTGCTGAGATTAAAGGCTGCACCACCACTGCCCAGTGATAACTGACACTCTTACAGTAATTGTTGTCTGGGTGACTTCTAGAATCTGGGTATTTCTTCATACTGAACAGATCCATTGTAGTTTTTAATGTTCTAATAATCATAACGTAGCAGCAGAGGCTCTGGGTTAGTGATGCTCGGCTAGAGCTGGCTTCCCTCCTGGTTTCCACGACACAGGCACACGCTAATAAAGAAGCTCAGTCAGCTGAGAGAGCGCGAGCCGGGGCTGGCCCAGCTGCTGGTGGACCAGGTGAGAGCGACTGCATTTCTCTTTGGCTGCCTCGGGCGTAGGAAGCTGCTCTCTTCCTAGGGGTCACTTATAGGTCAGGCTGGACTTGACCCCCTGATCCTGATTTTACTGTCCAATCCCTCCATTTCAGATCTATGAGAACGCCATGATAGCAGCGGGACTGGTTGATGACCCCCGGCCCATGGTAGGCCGCCTGAATGACCTTCTGGTCAAGGCCCTGGAGAAACACTGACAGCCCAGAGACTGGACCTAGTGTGCAACCCAGACCTTCTCAGGCCACAGACGCCTGGGGAGGAAGGACTTGATGCACAGATAATGCCACCGACTGCTCGAGCTCAGCTTTATTTACCTCAATTAAACAGTATTCTTAGTCTGAATGGTGGACGTTCTGTCTGTCCTGGGCAGTAGAACGCTGCACTACCATACATGTCTGGTTGGACAGTTGGAGTCTTCCTCACCACAAGCATATGGCTGTGATGCTTGATGACATCAGGTTCACTTGAGGGTCATCTCCACTGGGTAGTGGTCACTGATGGCTTCCGCCTAGAGAGGTGGGATGCCGGGGAGGGCATGGGGCCAGAAAGGGTGAGCGGGTAGAAAGTCTTGCTGCTCCCGACCTAAACCACCTCCACCCACATGTCGTGTGGGAAACAGGAGCACTGTCGGGAATCACTCAAGTCCGCTCTCGCTGACTCAGGTTAGCTTAAACCACATGAAGGAAGGACACGTACCAGCTGCTTGCTGAGTCCGAATGCTGCTTGGAAGTCAAAGGGACCAACTGAGTTGGGAACAACGGCACTCTGGAGCAGAGCGCCAGCAACCACAATCCTGTAGGACATCAGAGGACAAGGCTCCTTCACCCTCTAGTCCCACACAGGTCATGGTTTCCTGGCCCGGGGGTCCAAACTTGATCCATCCATGAGCATTAAGAGGGCCCTGCACTGGCAGGAGCTAGCATGTGAGGGACATCCAGATGGCCCCATCCACCTGCAGCCATTCTGACAAGAAAGCCAGGACCCTGTGAACCAAAGTTTCTGCCTCATTTGAGTAGGAGACAGGGAGTGACGGCCATGATTCTGCGGCTGGACGAGCACATCCTGGCTGCTTACCTGTCATAGGCACAGTGTGTGGACGTGACCGTGGTGTCAGCACTGTCGGGGATCAGCCACTGGAAGGCGGGGCTCGTCCGGAGGCGGATGGAAGACCACTGGGTGGAGCTGACGTAGCTGCAGCCAGCATTGAAATCCCCCATCAGTATGACGTCCTGCCGGGAAACACACCTGTTGGTCCAGGGGCAGGGAGGGCCGGTAGAACCCACGGCCCTAGGATGTGCTCACCTCCAGGTCCCACTTTTTTTGGACATCCAGGTAAACATCATAGAGGGCGTCAATCTCAGTCACAGCATCTGTTGGGGCTGCGTGCAAGGGCACTATCGCAAACTCTCTGACCTCTGAGGAGATAGCAGACATCATGGTATCCAGAGACCAGTCTGGACTGGAGTTGGCCTGCGGCTACGCAGGGGCCTCGTGCAGGGGTGATCAGTGTGTGACGGTCTCCCAGAGGATAAGCATTGTCCTTGGGAGTGGGGGGTGCGGGGGCAGCCCTGCCATGGGCTTCTAGAGGTCTGACTCTGGGCAGGCCGAAAGTGGAGCCCAGCAGCACTCACCAGTGAAAGGGGAAAAGAACTTAACAATGGCCGGCTCTCGGCTGAAGGTGTCATTTCCGCAGGGCTCACAGCCATCATCATAGTAATAGCTGTCCAGAACAGACACCTGGTCGGGCCTAAGGAAAGACCAGGCAGGAAGTGACTTTAGAGCTGGGGGCCACTCTCCAGCCTGTGCCCCAGCCTTCTAGAAACGTACAGTCCTGGGAACGGGAGGCTAGGTGAGTACTTACCATTGACACGACAAGGCTAACCCAAGGCCTTCTGGTCTTGTCACAAGCTGTGAGAGGCATCAGAGTGGATGCCCACCTGGCCTTAACCTTGTCCTGTGGCCCTGTGCTCTCGCCCTGTAATATACATTGCTACCCCTACTCTGTAAGGGCCTCCTGGGTACCCTGGGTACCCTGGGCTTTCTAGACCACCCTCGTCCTCTGCAGTACAGATTTGGGGTTGTATCTACACCCCGTGCTTGTATTCTCGGGCTTTGACAGCGTAGGACCTTACCTGTACAAGAAAAGGTACTGCTCCTTGTAGCTGCTGCGGCCCAGAGGCTCACTGACCACATAGCGATAGGTGTCAGGTTTGGCCCTGGATAAAGGAAACCAAAAAAAGAGGGAACCTCCTGGCAGCTGGCAGCAAGGTTCTATCCATGGAGCGCCGAGGGAGGGAGGGAGGCTGGCTGCTCCCCTGGAGGTGAACCCCAGCACTGTCACCCACCGATTGAGTTCATCCAGTAGCTTCCCAATGGCCACCAGGTGGCTGTCTCTGACCTCTTGGACAACGGCGATATCATAGCGACTCAGGATCTGGGGTAAGGGCCACAAGAGCTTAGCAAGACAGGCTGGGTGGACAGCCCTGCCGCCAGCAGCCCCGGGCATCAGACAGCCAAATATCCGACAACCCTGACATCCACCCAGGTGCTGGTAAGGCCTGAGGCTCACTGACTTCCGGGGCCTTAGGGAAGCTACCATCTCCCCTGGGGTCTGTCTGCTCTCAGGCATGGGCCACCCTGAACTTACTTTCACAATGTAGCTAGAGATGGTGGCATTGGACATCTTAGTCTCCCCGAAAGTCCGGATGTTGAAGGCTGCGATTCTCAGAGTCACAGCCAGCTCCAGCAGGCTGACCAGGGTGAACAAGACCCCCATCGGCGCTGTGCATCGCATCCTGTGGGATTGTGGGAGGTCAGAACACCAGCTGGAAGACGGAAGTCCTGCACCGCGTACCACAGAGAAGTCCCTGGGTCTCCTCTTGAACTTACCTGAAAGCTGATCCTGGGAGCAACGCTAGTCTGAGAGGCTGTGGTCGCCAGAGATGGGACTAACCAGAACAGACCTGCTCTGTCAGTGGGGTGAATCCCCAAGTCTGCTCTAGGACTGCTGACGGACTAGGGAGCTCACTCCACGGATGACCAAGCCGGATATGGAGATGAGAATTCTGCCCAAAACCTGGAATATTCTGATAGTAATTTCTCCTTTCCTTTTAAAGGAAAATTCTTTTTACAAAATGTATGAAGGGAAAAAGCAAAAAGCAGAGTGCACTTGCAGAGCTGCTGGCACTGTGGGTCGCCGCCCCGGCAATGCCAGCCTGCCCTGCCCTGCCCTGCCCTGCCAGTTTTAAAGGTTCAGGCAGCTGTGACCTCCCCAGGGCACGTGTGTAACCTCCACCTGAGAGCACCGAACAATGGGGCCTCCTGTGTGCCCCCCCCACTGGGGCCTCCTATGTGCCCCCCCCACTGGGGCCTCCTATGTGGCCCTCCCACTGGGGCCTCCTTTGTGGCCCTCCCACTGGGGCCTCCTGTGTGGCCCCCCACTGGGGCCTCCTATGTGGCCCTCCCACTGGGGCCCTGGGCAGCCGGCAGCATGTGCTGACTTCACCAGACATGGAACCTCCTCGCTGCTGTTAAAGCAGCGTCTGATAGTTTGTGCATGGTTATAAAATGTCTTTGCCCACCCTGTCTTCACCACCAGGGATGGGCAGTAGGTGTGCTGGCTTATCTACATGGGTCTGGTCTGGGGACCCTAAAGTCACCTTGTAGCCAGAGGATAACTTCCAGACATGTACATGGATTCTCAAGACAGCTGCTTTGCTCTGTGGCTTAGGACCGACCCCTTGCCTCCCAAGCTGGTAAGCTGCTAGAGGCTCTGGATGGGAAATGCAAGGCCAGGCAGTGGAAATTCTTCCTGGGGGAACAAGCTCAGGGGAGCCCCACAGGCCTACATCACAAGCAGTGTAACTTGGGGCTAGGTCTGCCATCATTTGTTCAATCCTTGTGATTTGTGTTCCTCCCCTGGGGCTGCTGGAACAAGATACCACAATCCATGAAAACTGCAGCCAGAGACCCAAAACCTAGGTCTCGTGTGCACCCCATTCCAGGGCAAGATTCCTGTCACTCTAGCCTCCACCTTCATGACCGTGTTGGCTTCTTTGGGGTCAGCTATCCCTCTGTTCCATTAGTGGAGCTGCATCTGAGCTCCTCCAGATAAGATCAGGATGCAGTCCCATCTCACCACCCTTGATCGAATCTGTGGTCCTTTTCCCCCTTAACTGTGAGTCTGTGCACAGAGGCCAGAGGTTAGGACGTCCTCCTCTGTTGCTCTCCACCTTAGTTTTTGAGACACCAAACTGGCCAGAGCAGGCCTCCAGAGCCCCCATCCTGCCTCCTAGTGCTGGGACACTAATTATACGAGTGCGGTGTATCTGACCCCGGTCCTCATGCTGTGGGTGAGTAAGTAGTTCACCCCTGGAGCCATCCTCCCAGCTCCCAGAGCTCTCTTTGCCAAGTGTCAAGATGTGGACATCTTTTGGGGTGCCATCATTCATCCCTCCATCAGAAAAGCTCTATGGGAATGGTTGTTGGCTCTCCAAGGACAACATGTTACAGGGACAGAACGTTCTTAGGAAGGAAGAGCTTGTATACCTAGGGAGAAGTGGAGGCAGGGTGTCAGAGCAGGCAGCTATAGGAAGTTGGAGATATCCCAGAGCAAGGTAGCCTAGAGGACAGGATTGACACAGGCTAAGGTCAGCAAACTAGAGCAGATCTGCCAGCTGGCCAGGGCGCCTGGCATGTAGGACTAGAAGGAATCAATGAGGGTACAAAGGTAAACACACCTCCAGGAGGCCAGTGTCCAGGGCACTGGTGCACATCTGCTCCTGTGTCTTCCACGTGGACAAGCCTCAGATGGAATCACCCACCTGCCTCTCTTGTTGGAACAGGGTCTTGTATAGATAGATGATCTTCATCTTCTAATCCTCCTGCCTCCACCTTGCACATTCTGGGATCTGTGCTGAGATTGCAGGCAGGCATGTGCTGGTTATGAAGAGCTGGGGAACAAACTATGATCCAGCCCCATTCGACTCTTTTCAAAAGTATGCATGCCCATGCTTCAGTTTTCCATCTGAGGCTGGAACAGACTTAGCCAACACCAAGTTCCCACACACCCAGCAAGGCTGCTGTGGCACCTGGTGGCTCAACACAGCTCACATTGTTCTACCTTGTTCATGCATCTGAGAGACCAGTGGCGGGATGGGAGCAGGCCTAGGGGCCGCCAGCGTGTACAGAAAGGTGGCTTGTGCCAGCAAGAATGCCATGTGTGGCTTTCAGTATAGGCCCCACCCCCTCTGGTTCTCAGCACATGGTAGGTAGCTAAGGTTCCTGGTTAAGCTGTCACCCGCTCCCTGCTCCTGGAAGCTCCCAGGTACCCCTACCATCCTTCCAGCCAGCAGAAAGGTTAGCTTAGGCTTTAGGCAGCAGCTGGGGCCTGGGCACCAGTTGCATGTGGTGGCCCCCACAACAGGGCTCCCTGAGCAGCTGGGCTTGGGTCCACCTAGGTTTGATTTGGGGCCATTCACTTAGGATAAGGGCTTCCCAGCTGCTCTGTGGTTTGAGGGTCACTGGACACACACTAGTTAAATACGAGTTTACCCCTCTTAGAAGGAAACCTCTGGAATGTTACACAGCCTCACCTTCTCTCCTGTGTTCCTCCGTGTCAACTACAGCTGTGCAGTCAGTAGCCGCAAAACTCAACATGCACAATAATAGTTATTTTCTCTCTCGTCTGGAGGCCAGGTGGGATGTCTTTGTCCTGGGGCTGGACTAGGGACAAAAGAGAGGAAAGTGGAAACCACTAGATGAGCAGGGCATGTGATGATGCTCTTACATCTGTGTGCTGTCTCTGCCATGCCTGATGTCAGCAGGAAGACATTCCTTCCATGCCAGAGCCCACTTTGGAGATGTAGGAGCAGGCACCATGGAAGGTAGAAGCAGCTCAGTGCTTCTGAATTCTCAGTCCCATCAACAAGGAAGTATGTGTTGACAGCCAGTGGCTATGAGGAAAGCTGGCTACTTTTCAGATCAGGTGAGCTCTTTTAAGGTCAGCTCTTAATCTACAATATTCTCTCTTTAAATTACTCTTGTCACTGGTACCAAATGGGGAAACAGCAAATAACAATGGTTTATTGAAGTATGGGCCAAGTCAAAGGATGTGGGACAAATCCTCTTAAGCACCGTGACCAGAAACAAATAACCCCGGTGGGGCAGGCCAGGTCGGGCTCAGTGCCACAGCCATGCTGCAGAACTCTCGCTAGAGAAGGAGCACAAAGTAACTCCAGTGAGTGCGCTCACGGCCAGATGTGTGAAGGGAGCGGTGATGTCAGCATTCTGCACATCGTGCTCAGTGCGGTTCAGACCCACCATGAGGACTACTTTATTCCTTCCTGTAGTGTCTGTGTGGAACTTACTGAGAAAGCATCACTGAAAATTGATGCAGGCCAAGACAAGGGTGGTAGCAGCAAAATTTCTGGCAAATGGACATATCCCAGGAATAATTATGATTAAAAATAGTTTATCACCAGGCGGTGGTGGTGCATGCCTTTAATCCCAGAATTCAGGAGGCAGAGGCAGGTGGGTCTTGAGTTCGAGACCAGCCTGGTCTACAGAGCGAGTTCCAGGACAGGCAGGACTATACTAGAAACCCTGTCTTAAAAAACAAGAACAAAAAATTTAATAATAATAATAATAATAATAATAATAATTCATGTTTGCTAACTTTCCAAATGTTTGCTATAAATTGTGAGGTCATAAATTCTGTTTGGGTTTGCCTAACTATTAAAAATACATCTGGAAGTGATTTCCTTTGACCTAAGGGCCTCTAAAAGCATTATTAATGAATCTTCACAAAGTGTCTGCACCAAGGAGGCCTGGAAAGCTTTGACCTAGTGAGCCAGGCATGGTCTGAACTGGGGGTCATATATCTTACCTTCCTTAATACGCCTTCATTTCTCAATTGTATCATTTATAAGAGCTTGTTCCATAACTTCCTAAGAACTGTTGCCATACATTAAACATTTTACTTGTATTTAAATACATGAGTTTGCACTGATATAAGACCAGCAGTGGGAGGTGAATGGACCAGTGGGTAAAAATGCTTGCCACACTAACCTGACAACCAGAGTTCAGTTTCTGGAACCCACATAAAGGTTTAGAAAAGAAATGACTCCCAAAAGTTGTGTGCACACACACATTTTAAGGTGAAAAATATCAGCAACCTCTGGGGAGTGGTGGGGAACAAACATTTCTCCAAAACAAGATCCAAGACTCAGCAACTGACCCTACCATCCTGAGTGCCGCTGATTACCACTATCTACAGGGCAAAGTCTCCCCATAGGTAAGAGACAAGAAGGGAGAAGACCTTGAACCCGAGTTCTACAGTCCCCAGTAAGGGCTGAGGGTCAGGGGCCACTGACATCACAGAAGGCAGCCAGTATTCTGTACTTCCTTATTAAAGAACACTGGCATTCGGGAATGATTTGTGCCCAGACAACCTTGAGTCTGAGCAGACCTCTATCAGGAGTTTCTAACCCTGTAACACTAACATGGTCTATAAATAGCTGCATTCATAGCTGTCCTGGGATGCATGCAGCCCATAGGATGCATGGCAAACACACTTGTGCCTACATCTAATGCCAGCCTACAGCAAATAGAGGAGATGGAGCAGAGTGGTCATCAGCACCACCATGTAGACACACAGCTGAACCAGATGGGAAATAGTACCCAGTAAGGACAGTATCACCAATAAATTTCCTCAAAGAGAAATGAGAGAACGTAGTAAAAAGAAACTGGAGATAAGCTGGTAACTGCAAGGCTGATGTTTATCCAGATCCTGTAAAACAGTGATCTGTTGATCTTACAAACATTTAACAAACCATTTGAGACAAGTGACAGACCTGGAGATACAGGCATACAATACCAGCTGTTCAGGTTGACACAGAGCTATCAAATTCCAGGCCAGCTTGGGCTGTACTATGAGTTCAATGCCAGCCTGAGTGACTTAGTGAGACCCTGTCTCAAAACGTTTAAAAAAATTTTTTTAGCTCAGTGGTAGAGTACTTACTTGCCCAGCATGTTCAAGGTTGTAGGTACCCTCAACACACACAAAAGAAGCAATCGAGTAGTTTTAAATTTAAGTTCCTCTTGTATTCAAAATTAATTATAAATTTTAAAAGAACGGAGACCTAGTGAATGATAGACATTGTATAGCTTCCAGGTTTGGTTAATGGCACTGGGGTTATATAGTCAGCCATGAGCCACAGTGTGCAGAATGAGGTTGGCACGGTGTGCCCTGAGCCTGGGTGACAGATGCATGAAAGATCCTTGATGTCTATGGTCTAGATATATTGAAATTTTCCATGATTAATTTTTAAATTTATAAATAAACAAACAAAAAATCCTAAGGACCTGAATCTGTATTGCTGGGACGTGGCCACTCATATTTCATTCAAAATAAACCTTTTTATTTCCTTAAAAAGAAACAAAAAACATTCAGTCATACAAGCAGATACAATGTGGCATCCAAAAATATACTTGAAATGAAAACTCAAGATTATTTAACCCTGAGATTTACATCTCAAGAGAGCTCCTTGAAGAGGGAGTAGTAGAATCTTGGAGGTGGAGAGGGAGAGTCTTGATAGGAAGAGGGAGAATCTTGGATGGAGAGAGGGAGAATCTTGGATGGAGAGAGGGAGAATCTTGGATGGAAAGAGGGAGGATCTGGCCAACTATGAGCAGGTGGGTTCTGGGCAGAGGGTGGGAGTGTAAGCATTTGATGACAGGGAACTAGTAAACTGATGTGGACCATGGGGAAGAGAATTTCTTGGTTGCTGTCAGGTCCGGACTCAGAGCTATTGGGTTAGAGGTAGTTTTTCCTGCTCCAGAACTACTCTTGGGGTTTCTGGAGTCGGGGACCTCATCTCAGACCCTACTAGGCTAGGGATACCACCCCTAACCTCTGATGGGCATCCTAACGTTCCAGTCATAATGGACCCTAAGTGGTACTCCTGCCTTCCCTGCCCATCAATCATGGTGGCCCCACCCACCCAGATTTTCAAACCTCTGAACCATCCTAGGTCCCTGCTCCCCCTCAGCTTCTCCAGATGCATGCAGCTTCTCTACTTCTCCCTAAATGTGCAGTCACTACACTATTACCAATACCTCTAGGGCTTCCCTGCTCATCAGGACTCACCACACAGTCCACAGGGCTCCCAGAACACCTCATAAATTTGTAATCAGATCCTTGATCACATTATTCTCCTTAAAATCTGTTGTCAGGTTCTCATTGTCCCTCCTATGAAATCCAATGCTAACCATGACCTATGGAACTAGCTAGGTTGAGCTTTCCATTCAACCTTGAGAGCTGGGTCCTTTCTCGTCTTTTCGGTTTGGGTTTAAAGGTGACCTCCGCTAGAGAAACTGCTCTCCCTGCAGTCCTTCCCCAACACAGCCCCACTTTCATCTTCTCATAGTCCATGCTGCCTGGTCATTTAAGGTGCTCAGCAGTGTCTGTCTTGTTTTACAGGCAGCTTCCTGTAATACCAGGAAATACCAGCTTCCTGAGGCCAAGACCATAGCTCTTCTGTCTGTGGAAGTCTCTGGACCTTCAGACAGTCACACAGACAAAGCTGCAGGATGGCTGAGCAACAAGCTTGCCCAGTCTGCTCCTTCCAGAGCTCCTTGAAAAGCATCCTTTGTCTAGGGATCCCCCAGAGAAGCCCGGCAGAGAGCAAGAGGGGCACCCAAATAACACCTGCCACTTGGGTGGCACTGGCCAGAAGCTACCAGGGGTTTGGTAGCCGCTACAGCCACAGGGCTACTTCCTCATGGCCACTGAGTACTCCTCAGGGTCACTGTGCATTGGTCCCATGCACATCGCATCCTGGGGACAAAGGCAGCAGCCATGTCTTTGCCATGACATTGCTTTGTTCCCAGAGCAGGCCCCAGGTAC